AACAAACTACAAGTGCCTCTGGATACTCACTAGATTGTTTCTCTAAGATATATTCCCAAAAGTAGCATTGCCGGGGCAAAGAGTATGTGTTTTTAACGCTTTGGAAAGGTTTTATCAACTGACGCTCTAACCAACCCTATACGAATATACTGGTTTCCCCCACCCTGCTAACTGTGGACATTACTTTTTTATTTTATTTTATTATGTTATGTTAATCACCATACATTACATCATTAGTTTTTGATGTAGTGTTCCATGATTCATTGTTTGTGCATAACACCCAGTGCTCCATGCAGAACGTGCCCTCTTTAATACCCATCACCAGGCAAACCCATCCCCCACCCCCCTCCCCTCTAGAACCTTGTTTGTTTTTCAGAGTCCATCGTCTCTCATGGTTCGTCTCCCACTCTGATTTCCCCCCCTTCATTTTTCCTTCCTACTATCTTTTTTTTTTTTTAAAAAAGAAGCACAGCTTTACTGAGGTATGACTGATATACAAAGAACTGGATGTATTTAATATGCACATTTTGATGAGTTTGGACATATGAACACCTGTGAGACCATCATCAGCCACAGTAATAAAGACATCTAACACCTCCCAGAGTTTCCTTGTATCCTTCATGTTTTTTGTGTGTGTGCATGGTAGGAACACCTAACATGAGATCCACCCTCAACAATTGTTTTCCAGCTTTATTGAGATATGACATAAAACACCGTAAGTTTATCTCTTAACTTTTTGAAGTGAATAATACCACATTGCATTATCACTTTTTGGGGCATGATTTCCGAACTATTGAGTAAAAAGGGATTTTTAATTGTTTTGTGTACCTTTGATTACCACTGATAATGAGCATCTGTCCATGTTTACTGTGTACTTGTGTTTCTTTTATAAATTTCAAGTTACATCAGGGCCTTTACTAGAAGCCTTTGCTGCCTCCTCCTTGCTCTTGGGCAGTTTATGGGATAGGGCTAGGGGCCAATTTGTTTGAAATGCTACAACTCCATTAAGTCCCTGTCACTTTCCAGTAGGGTATTATAGGCCTGAGCTCTGTCTCAGGTCTGCTCTTTGGCAGCTTCCAGATGCCTCTACAACCCCAACACAAGGATCTAGGTGAGATATATTACTTCTATTTTTATTTTAATTTTTTAAAAAGATTTTATTTGTCAGAGAGAGCGCACAAGCAGGGGGAGTGGCAGGCAGAGGGAGGAGCAGACTCCCTACTGAGCAAGGAGTCCGATGCGGGGCTTGGTTGCAGAACCCTGGGAACATGACCTGAGTTGAAGGCAGATGCTTAACCAACTGAATCACCCAGGTGCCCCTTTATTTAAAAAAAAATTTTTTTAAATTTATTTTTGAGAGAGAGAATCTCAAGCAAACTCCCTGCTGAGCGTGGAGCCTGACCCAGGGCTCGATCTCACAACCCTGAGATTAGGACATGAATCGAAATCAAGAGTTGGATCCTTAGCCAACTGAGCCACCCAGGCGCCGGGATACATTACTTCTTAAAAAAAACCCTGCGGATCTTTGAGCATCTACTTAGGGTACATAGTGAGAAAATTTCTGGACAGCTTCAGTTGCTACTTCAAATACAAACGAATGAGTCATTCGTTTTCCTGTTGGGTAGAAGTGAACAGCCTAATAGCCAGAGAACAATAATTACAGCCTAGTAGCAATTTCTTATAAGTAATACAAATATCTCTATAAATTGCACATTTTATTTTATTTATTTTTTAAAGCTTTTATTTATTTATTTGACAGAGAGATAGAAAGCACAAGTAGGTAGAGAGGCAGGCAGAGGGAGAGGGAGAAGCAGACTCCCCACTGAGCAGGGAGCCCGACGTGGGGCTCAATCCCAGGACCCTGGGATCATGACCTAAGCCGAAGGCAGGCACTTAACCGACTGAGCCACCCAGGCACCCCCAAATTGCACATTTTAAATAATTTGGATAATGACATGGATTTTTTTCATGGGTGCTATTCTACATGGAATGTCTTTGTTTACCCACTTTTTAAAAGGTTTTATTATTTTTTTAAAGATTTTATTTATTTATTTGAGCGAGAGAGAAAGAGCACAAGCAGAGGGAGCAGCAGAGGGAGAGGGAGAAGCAAACCCCCCACTGAACAGGGAGCCCGACATGGGGCTTGATCCCATCAGGACCTGAGCTGAAGGTAGCCGCTTAACCAACTGAGTCCCCCAGGCACCCTAAAGATTTTAAGTAATCTCTACAACCAACGTGGGACTCGAACCCACAGTCCCAAGGTCAAGAGTCCCGTGCTCTACCGACTGAGCCAGCCAGGTGTCCCCAACATCCTTTTTAAATAAAAAACATTGTTATCCATTTTTGTAACTCCTCGATATCTGGATTAACAGAAGACAGTTGGACTTTTCACATCTCCTTCTGCATTCATTCAGTTGAAATATCAGAGGTCAGATAGCCTTTGGGAAACTCCACTGTTCACTACTGGGAGAATAAAAGTGAAAAAGGCAAATAACATCTTAGTGTTAACTATGAAAAGTTTTGACTTCAAGGATCCTCTGGAAAGGTCTTGAAAACCTCCAGGAGTTCCCAGCTACACCCAGTACAACTCTTGGGAGTCCCAGGGAGAAACTGGAGTGATAAGACAGTGCCATCAGTACCTTTATTCTCCTGGATCTATCCCATGCAGGGTTGCCTACATGGAGGTTGGCTTTGTCTCTTGGAAAAGAGAGTAAGGGCCTCTCTGAAGTAACTCTTTTCTTTGGATTCTAGTTACTTCCCTCATCTCTTTGGGCCTTCGTGTGAAACATCTGAGTTACTGCGTTATCTTCGGTTCTTTTATATTCTGTGCACACCTTTGTAAGTAACTTCTTAATGTATCCTGGTACTCTAGCACCATATATAAATGCAACAAAAATTCAACAAACAACACAGAACTTTATTATATGTCAGTGGTTTCCCAAGGGTGGTCCCTGGAGTATCAGCATTAGCATTACCTGGGACCTTCTTAGAATTAGAATTCAAATTTTTGGACCACACTCCAGAGTGACTAAATTAGAAATTCTAGGGATGGGGCCCAGAAATCTGTGTTTTAACAAGCCTTTCAGGTGATTTTAATGTATGCTAACTTGGGATCCAATCTGAAAACACTGCTCAAATAAGGTAATTAATAGTGCCCTGGAAAATTTAGAAACTTTAGTTAGATAAAATCAGCCCTTAGTTAATAACAGCTAACGGTAGCAAGCATTTACACGGTGCCAGGAAATGTTCTAAACACTTGACACGTTAACTCATTTAGTCTTTACAATTAACTATAGTGTAATAGTAACTATTAGACCAACTTTTGATATGTGGAAAAAACTAGGCATAGAGAGTATATAAGTACTTTGGCAAAGGACGCATAGTTAAGTGACAGAGCTAGGTTCCAATCCAGGCAGGCAATCTAGTGCTCCTGACTGCCACACAAGGAGGCCCCAGAGCAGCAACAAGGGTCTGGAGGGATTCAGGTTTCCTAGCAACAGAGTTGGTGGATGGAAGGTCCCTTCAGCCATCTTGCCAACCTAGGATGATGGCTTACACGGGGTTTCCCAGCACGGAGGAGGAACGGAGATGAGCCCTTTCTAGGAAAGAGATAGAATGAGCCTTCCCTCAAGTGGACTCGATAGGCTTTTCTGAATATAGCTAACAGAGCATGTAAGGGACTTTCCAGGAAGTTTGTGAGGCACTGAGCTTGTGAGAGAGAGACAGCTCTGGGGTCCTATCCTCCACTTAAATGTGTTGTCCCAGACTTGAATTACATGAAATACTTCTGCTGTATTCCCCTCATGCCTCTGACCCAGTCTTTCACCTTATGTTTTAGGTTGGCTTTTCGTTGTTAATTATTTCAAAGTAAAAAATTAATGTTAAATTAAAAAGTTAAATTTAAAAATTTAACACTTCTGCTTTTACAATACAATCCAAATGCTTCAGAGATTTATTTTTAACCTACAGATGAAGGATGTGATCCATTTTTCTGGAAGGATTCTGGGAAAACTTTCCAAATTATTACTTTAGCATAATAAAAAATTTGTTTCTGCATTAAGTCAATTTATTCTCATACATACATAGTTGTTTGCAACTGTTCAATAGTGAGTTTCTCTGCCACATGCTAAATCTATAGAAAACCTTTATATGGTTAAAGTGACCAGGTATGTATAAATCAATATGCTTACAAATATTTTAACGGCCAAATAGCCTAGGGCAGCATTCTTCAAATCAGTACACAGAAACATTTCAAGGGTATGTGGGCAAGGATGACTTCAATGGACTTGGCATCCAGAACTTTACTTCCCACGTGAACTCTTCCCTAAAACATATTACCCCTCCGACTCCTGAGATCAAGGCCCTCCTTTCACATTAGCTCCTTTCTCCTTCAAGTATGAAAAACTGACTTCTCTGAATCTTACTCTTACACCTCAGGGTATACATTCCTCCAGGGTGGTGAGAAAGTGAATGACTACAATGGCTGAGTAACCAGATCTCGCAGAAATGGATGGAATTAGAAATAATTAAAATCATTTAATTTTATGTATCATAATCTGTTGTGATCAAGTATGAAGTAAAATGGAAAATATAAGTTCAAGGAGAAAAAGGATGATGTAAATTTTCCTATTTTAAAAAAAAGCTTGTGGGGCACCTGGGTGGCTCAGTTGGTTAAGCATCTGCCTTCGGCTCAGCTTATGATCCTGGAGTCCGAGCCCCCATGTTGGGCTCCCCCCTCAGAGGGGAGTCTGTTTTTCCCTCTGTCCCTCCCCCTGCTTGTGCTCTAATAAATAAAACCTTAAAGAAAAAAAAGGCTTATAGGGTGCCAGGTTGGTTCAGTGGTACAGCGTGGGACTCTTGATCTTGGGGTTGTCAGTTCAAGCTGCACATTGGGCATAAAGATTAAACAGAAAAAAAAAGCTTGTTTGCATCTTTTATTTTTTTTGAATCTTTCTTTCTTTGTTTTAGCCCCTGGGGGTGTGTGTGCACTGTTTCTGGAGGCACTGCAGTATCAGGAGGTCGATGCAAGGAGTGGCCAGAGCAAGCTCCTAGTCCATCTCCCTGCTCCAAAAATCCACTTTATACACTGTCCTTCGGTAGAGGATGTCGGATATTAAACTGATAAGAACAGAAACTATACTTGATCTTAGCCAGAAGGCCAAGAAGTGATGAATTATTATTATTATTATTATTTTTAAAGTAAGCTCTACATCCAGGCGGGGTTTGAACTCACGACCCCAAGATCAAGTCACATGCTCTACTGACTGCCTCTGGCTCAGGTCATGATCCCAGGGTCCTGGGATCAAGCCCCACGTCGGGCTCCCTGCTCAGTGGGGAGCCTGCTTCTCCCCTCTGTCAAATAAATACAATCTTAAAAAAAAATGGATGATGAAACAATCAAAACAGTATTTAGATTCTATTGGATACACTAAAAAAAACTGATTTAACAGTTTTATTTTACAAAGTTAAACTGATAGGGGTGCCTGGGTGGCTCAGTTGGTTAAGCGTCTGCCTTCAGCTCAGGTCATGATCCTGGGCTCCTGGGATCCAGCCCCATGTCGGGCTCCCTGCTCGGCGGGAAGCCTCCTTCTCCCTCGCTCTCTGCCTCTCTCCCTGATCCTTCTCTCTGTCTTGCCCTCTCTCTCAAATAAATAAATAAAATCTTAAGAAAAAAAAGTTTCAAAGTTAAATTGATAGTATGCTAAAAATTGCATCTTTTCGACTATCTCAACTTCTGAAAAACTAAAGTTGTCAAATTTAAAATGTGCAAAGGGAAACAATTTTTAAAAATACTTTTGTGGATATACAAAGAAGTTTGCAGATTGCTTGTTTATGATTATGTTTAATTTCTGACCACCATGGGAGTATGACTTTTTTTTTTTTTAAGATTTTTTTTCATTTATTTGACAGAGAGAGACACAACGAGAGAGGGAACACAAGCAGGGGGAGTGGGAGAGGGAGAAGCAGGCTTCCTGCCGAGCAGGAAGTCCAATGCAGGGCTCGATCCCAGGACCCTGGGATCATGACCTGGGCTGAAGGCAGACGCTTAACTGACTGAGCCACCCAGGCGCCCCAGACTGTGAACTTTCTATAAATTGGGGGCAGGGGCATGTGGGGGACTTGGGCGTGATGTCTGAGTAACCAACCCAACAGGGACACACATTAAACTTTGGAGCTTGCTTCCATGCTGGAAAGGTGACGCCCATAACAACCCTGCATTTGGAATAATGGCCTTTCCTGCTTGTCTGCCACCCTCCTTACTCTAAGTCTCCATACTTCCTGGGCTCTCTGCACACCTGTCCAATAAGACAGCAGGAGTTGAGTAAGGTGAGCTTTAGGTGAGATAGAGAATATTGATCTAGTTCACAGTTTAGGAGAATAGTCCCTTTTGCTATATTCTGTAACAAGTACCTGTGCTGACCTATTGTTTGCAAGTACGGGATTTTCATCTGGCTTTCTGAAATGTTGACCCGAGTTACAACTACTCTATACTGTTTTTTCCAAAATCCCTAGGCTTCTAGCTATTCCAGTATGGGACAACTTTCCTTTTTGAAATGGTTCAAAAAAATGTGTTTAAGCCAAAGTAACACACACCACACATACACAACAGACTTAAAAAGCCTCACCAAAAAAACCCAAGGAAAAACCAAAGAACAAGTCACTCTCCCCCTAACACATTGACTGGAAGATCTGTAACAATAACCATGTGGTGACTAGAGGGAAATAATAACCTGTAGCCTATTTCCTTTGGAAGACTCTGGCATGATGTCTTCAGATGAAGGCGGTATGCATAAACTTGTTTATGTGGGTACGGTGAGCTGAACACTCTCCTTCCATCTTAACCTCTCTTCTCATTCACCTCCTACAATATAGGCTGTATCTATTTGCATTTCCTTTTCTGTGTTTCTGTTTGGAGCAGATGAATTTTTATGCATCTGCATTTTGAATTAAATTTAAATCCTCTTTACTACAGCATGGGAAAAAAAAAAAAGACTGACCAGTGCCAATTTAGTTTCAGCCATATCATATAGGAATCCAAAAGCATCAAATTTCCTTGTACTCTGGGAACAATATATAGCATGAACAAAAGGTTATAGAGGAAAGAAATGTAATTGATTCTGAAGAGCGTGAACATCTGCCAAGAATGTATTGTAAGAGAAAATGATCTCTGAGGGTCCTACTTCTGATGATGAAATGGTTTCTAGTTCCCCATGTCAGAGAAATAACCCTCTGCTCCACACAGCCCTCTTCAAGCCCAATCCACTGAGCGGAGAAAGCAGATGTTTGAAGCTAGCTTCCGCAACACAAACAAATAGAAATAAGTGTAGAAGACTTTGAGAAATGAAACCGGCCCGATGATATTCAGCTGATGGCCTCCAAGGAAATGTGAAAAAAACTATGTTCTGGTCCAAATTCTGTCATTAAATATAATGTGACTGTGGCCCACTCAATTTATCTCCCTGGGCCTCAAGTTCCTTGAGCTCTCACATGGGAGAGCCGGCCTGGATGGCAGAAAAGGTCTTTTTATGATGTTGTCTACAGTGGTAAGATTAACAGACTATTGTTTCATCAAGAAGTCCCTTGAGTTTCAGACTTTCTATTTATTTTAATTAACTTATTTTTTCAAAGATTTATTTTTCTCAAGTAATCTCTACACCCAGCGTGGGGCTTGAACTCACAACCCTGAGATCGAGTGTCACATGCTCTACTCACTGAGCCAGCCAGGTGCCCCACAGACTTTCCACTTTACATGGGAAGAGCACAAATTCTAACACAAGTGATTTAAGAACATCAACATTTATTTAACATGATAAAAAAGAAATGAGATATGAACATTTGCATTTAAACAATAGTAAGGAGCCTTTAATACTTACATGTGCTCATTGTATAATATATACACAATGAACATAATTACATTTGTACACAAACTAAGTACTGGATTTGAAAACTGCTTATTGCTGTACACATCTATCCCAATTGAAGTATAAGCCCAGTCCTTCAAAATACCTACATTTTAAATTGTATTTTTAAGAAAAAGTAAGCGGTAACATTTGTGTTTAAGCTGACAAGAGTGTGGCAGTAACTGCTGACATTGCAATCTGACTGAGAAATAATTATAGCAGAAAACAGGACGTACTTCACTTAGCAATAATAAAATGACACATTTTAAATATATATATAAAATTTTTACAAATCAAGTGTGAAACAAAGCATTGCAGTAGCCAAAACGGGAAGAAAAAAAAAAAAAGGAAAACAAGCTTCATTGGAAATAATAACTAAATTTCTGTACTGAAAAAGCAGAAAGAAATATAAATCCACCTAAACTTTAGAAACATCAAAATCTGTAAATCAGCAACTAAGTAAGATCTGGCTGTAGACCGCACATTAAAAAAGCACCTTTACTTATGTGCTCTGAAATCATAGCAGCAAGCTGGTGTCAGAACAACAACCTTGAGATTATGGAGTGTACATATGATCCATTAAAGCTGTTTGGAATAAACATTTTCCAGAAGTGATAAAATGATGCTCTGTGGCCAAAAGCATCAGAACTATGAATTTCATAGATTTAAAATATACTGTACAATATCTTCTCACATTGCTGAAGGTCCATGTCTTTAGTTTTGAATGGTTTCAACAGGAGTCGGTATAGCTGAAAAATAGAGACCGGGGAAAATTACTTGACATCTGCAAAGTTAATGAGTGACAATTTCCTAGAGTAACTGAGGGCGGTGTTCTCTAACAACGGAACTGACGAGCATGGCCACGGAAATCCTAAGACATAATACAATGGAAGGACATTTTCTTGTCATTTCATAGGTTTAATTCACAAAGCCAAGAATGCAATTAAATAACAATTCAGAATAAAAAAAAAAGTAACCAAATTTGTGGCTGAATCCAAAAGATCAACAAAATGAGCAAAGATTTGCATAACTTTGCTAAGATATATATTAAGCTGCCTATGCAACAGCGTCATTTATAAACCTTTCCAAAGGTTTATATAAACCTGCCCAAACGACTAAGTCAGCGGGATTACATACACACAGTGAGAAGACAGAAAGTAATACCGCTTTGAGTGCTGTGGCAATAACTGGACCCCATTCCAGTATGTCATGCCACTGGCTCTTAGAATGAAAGTAAAACGAAACAAAATCCAATAATAACAACTTAAGGAACCTGGAAATGTACTTGAGTTGCAACTGTACATACTCTTTATTGTCAGACAACATTCTTTATTATCACTGGCTGTGTACGAAGAACGGTAACCTGTTTATTGAACCAAAAGATAATGAGACTGGATTTTAATGTACACTTCTCCACTAAGATGGACAGAGGCCATCTACCAAGTCCTTGCACAAGATGAATCAAATAAGCATGCTGACTGTTCCTATTCTGGTATTTTTCTGTCACTAGTGGCAACTGTCACTTCAAAACACAGTAAGTTTAAAAGTTTAAATGCCTGAGTGACAGAGGTAAGACTCTAACAAACAGGTGGTTTGTAACTCCAGAAAGGATGTCAATCCTGCATAAATACCAACTGACAAACAAAGGCCTCTTCTAGGCTCTATGTAGACATAATCTTAAATAGAAGTTACAAATATGACAAGACAGACATAAATCCTTCCGGATGAACAAAAGGACACAGGTTATAGTTGCTACAAAAAGGTATGAATGGAAGAAGATTCTAGAAAATAAGCACTACTGGGTAAGTCAATTTAGTATTTGTACAAATTTATTTTGAGAATCTAAAAGTCAAAGAATATGTTAGCAACAATGTTTGTAGTATCTCTATGTATTTTTGCTGCTTATAATTGTTTAACAGAAACTGGTGATAACCCTAAAGCATACAATATTCCTAGATCTGGTAGATGGTATGAGAAAAAAAAATGCAGAAAAAGGCATAACTAACTCCGTATCTCAGTTTTCCTGAAAAGTAAAAAAAAAAGTATATATCTACAAATCCAAAACTGCAAATAAAATTTAGCATTTTTCTATAAAATTATTAAAAGACCTTAGGAAATTATTCTCAGCTCTTACACTGTGGCCCAAGGAACAATGTTCAAGTAAGGATTCCTCCTTTCCCCGGTCCCACCCACAGCTTTTTTAGTAGTGATCTCCCTTACTTAAAAAAAAAATAATTATTTCAAAATAATTTCTGATAGATCTTAACGACTCCATGTAGCTGGCCGTACCACAGACACTCCTTTGTACTTTAAGATAATTAACAGACTCCCCACGCGGTAGACATGTCACATGAACTGTAAAAAACATTACTTGATCAACATGTAATTGCTTCCACAGAATTCTCAGATCCGACTATGGAAAGTAATGCTAAGTGGGAGCACAGCTACAAAACACCGTGAGGCTTGTCTTGGCACAGGCCATCAGCTCTTCGTTTTGCTGTTTTTATGCACGATGAAATAAGAGACAGAGAAATTTTGTCACGTAGCAAATCACTGGAAGGGCTGATGTTGGAGATCTGAGTGATTGGCCATGGCCCAAAAACACAGCCTCCTTGCCCTGCCAGCGATCCCTAATGCACAGTCCAGGATCAATCTCAAGTTTTTGTTCACCAAACCAATGAGTGAATAAAACTCCAGTTAAAAACTCAAGTTCAAGCACAAATGCAAAGGGTAACGGACGTACTTTTTCCGGGACTACACACACATGAAATGGGATCCCTCTGTGAGCTGCGGCTGAGTAGCTGGAACAGGCGATGCTGAGGACTCAGGAGATGGGGACAGACTTTGCACTAAAACACACCAAGAGAACACAAAAGGTAAACATCTTTAGGACACATCTGGAGAAGGAAATCTGGATGCTGTGATCCCATAAAATAAGAACATGCTTCAGGAAGGAATTAATAGCTGTATCTGGGTTCTTTGAAATTGACAATTGATTATTATTTAGCATGAAATGTCTCTTGAAGACTATTTAAAAATTCTTCTTCCTCCTATACCTTAAGCTTAGACATTGTACACAATGTTTTATGTCAACTGTACCTCCACAAAATTGGAAAAGAAAATTCTTGTCGTCATCCTCCCGCCTTTTTTTTGGCTTTGAGGTTAATTTTTAGGTGTCTACCTATGAATCACTCTTGTTGGGTCTCACTTTTTTTTTTAATTAATTAATTAAAACAATTTTTTTAAAAGTACGCTCTGCCTAACATGGGGCTTGAACTCACAACCCTGAGATCAAGAGTCCCATGCTCTACTGGCTGAGCCAGCTGGGAGCTTCTGGGTCTCACTTTTTTTTTTTTTTTTAAGATTATTTATTTATTTATTTGAGAGAGAGAGAATGAGAGATAGATATTTATTTGAGAGAGAGAGAATGAGAGAGAGCACGAGAGGGAAGAGGGTCAGAGGGAGAAGCAGACTCCCTGCTGAGCAGGGAGCCCGCTTCTCCCTCTGCCTCTGCCTCTCTCTCTCTCTCTCTCTGACTCTCATGAATCAATAAATAAAAAAACAATTAAAAAAAAAAAACCTTTCTAGTTCCATGCAGCTAAATACCATCGACAGTCTAAATGTTGTGATTTTAATACACTCACACGCTTTATGCAGTCGTGCCAAAACAAAAACAGAAAGTGGTCTTTGACAATTAAAAAAAAAAGTGAGAATTCCTGTGCATAATGCCTTATAAATGAGAGAGGCAAAAGAAAAGACAGTGCTTAATATCTGTTACAAGGAAACATGACTTATCACATAAATTTGCATGTTATATGTATATAAGTTGTAGAGAATACTGCCAGACTCCCATGTTCTTCCTAAGAACAGTCCCAAATAATTGAATTTCACTGTATTTGCCCTTTTGCAAAATGATGGGGAGAAGGGTGAAAGTAGGGAGGATTACTATTTTTTTTAAAGATTTTATTTATTTGAGAGACAGTGAGAGAGAGAGAGAGAGAGAGAGAAAGAGAGTGCACAAACAGGGGGAGGAGCAGAGAGGGAGAAGCAGACTCCCCGCTGAGTGATCCCAAGTGGGACTCCATCCCAGGACCCTGGGATCATGACCTGAGCTGAAGGCAGACACTTAACCCACTGAGCCACCCAGGCGCCCCAGGAGGGAGGATTATTAAGAATGGTTTTTTGCTTATGGACTATGAGAAGCAATGCTGATAATGTGCACTAGTTGTATGATCCCCCATCCCCATCCCTTCCCAAATATCATAAAGAAAAAAAGAGAAAATCAAATCTGTGAAGGAAAAAAAAAAAGAAACCTGAAAGTAGCATAGACATTTTTATTATTTTATTTTTTAGTTAAAAAATTTTTTTTAGAGAGGGAGGGAGGGTGAGGGGACGGGCAGAGGGAGAGGGAGAATCTTAAGCAGACTCCACGCCCAGCACAGAGCACACGAGGCTCGATCTCATAACCCTGAGATCATGAGTTGACCTGAAATCAAGAGTTAGTCAGTTGCTTAACCGACCGAGCCACCCAGGAGCCCCTATCTTCCGACATGGATGGATGATGGTCTTTGAGAGAGGATCACGATCTTCTATCAAAGAAAAACCTAGGGCACCTGGGTGACCCAGTTGGTTAAGCGACTGCCTTCGGCTCAGGTCATGATCCTGGAGTCCCCGGATCGAGTCCCGCATCGGGCTCCCTGCTCGGCGGGGAGTCTGCTTCTCCCTCTGACCCTCTTCCCTCTCATGCTCTCTATCTCTCATTCTCTCTCTCTCTCAAATAAATAAATAAAATCTTTAAAAAAAAAAAAGAAAAAAAGAAAAACCCAGATGTGGATTATAGCAGTGGCTAAACAAACCTGTTCTACTAGTTTAGGTATTAAATCTTGTACAGTTCCCAAAGTGGTAGTTTTGTGACTATTCTGAGAATCCAGCCTCAGAGAAACAGGTATGTTTTCCAAGTTCTGGAAGATCTTTTTAGACAAAATTTATGGTATACGTGTTAAGGTTAAGATGAAGAGAGAGTGAGAGAGAGAGAGAAAGAAGTGATCCCCAAGCCAGGACACTCTGTGGATCTAGACCGAGGTCCCCTTTCCATCCTTTCCAGAAGTGGCATCCTTCCTGAGGGTGCATGTGGGAAGGCAAAATATGAATTCAAAGGTTCAGAGGAAACCCCAGGGAGAAAAGTATGAAATGTGTAATATCTACCTGCCATTGTTTGATTTCCTCTAGAAGCCTCAGGAGTTTGTTCATAGGAAACAATCGTTTCTTCCTGCTCATGAAGATTGTCCTTTATATTCTCTTCAGGGTGGCTTTCTGCTTTATGATTTGTGATCTGTACCTCATCTTGAGGGCTACTGAAAATAGATTGATATTTTAAAACTTGTTATTACAAAATACAGTAAATTTTTTTCTTCCAATTTGTCATTATGAAAATGTTTGACCATACACAAAAGATGCCACCATCTATAGCTAGTAACTGCTAACATTTTACTTGTAATCTCTTTTCTCCCCCCTTTATAGAAATTTTTAAACATAAAAAAATGAGAGCAAATAATACACGAAACCTGTGCACTCAGGTAATCCACATTTTACCAATCTTGTTTCACCTAAACTCCCAGTCTCCTACTCTCCAAATTATTTTAAAGCAGATTCCAGACATATCATTTGATCTATAAACACTTCAGTTTGTATTTATAATACCTTAGTGTCATCAAATATCCAGTCAGTGCTCAAATTTCCTGATTGCCTCATTATAGCATTTTACAGTTATTGGTTTCAAAAAGATCTGAAGTCTATGTATTGTATTTGCCTGACAAGTCTCTTAAAGTTAACTTTAATCTAAAATAACCCATCCCACACATCCTTTTTATTCTTTGCCACTTAGGTGAAAGAACCTGGTTTATCCGTCCTACATAGTTTACCACATTCTGTATTTTGATGATTATATTTCTCTTATTTTTCATAAACTGATAAGGACTTTGAGGCTTGATCAGATTTAGATTTTAGGGGGAAAGGTAATATATTTCATTAAGTGGGGTTCATGCACTGTTGCATGAACAGGCTGTTTCTTTTCGTGATGTTAAAAATGATCAGTGAGGGCGCCTGGGTGGCTCAGTTGGTTAAGCCACTGCCTTCGGCTCAGGTCATGATCCTGGAGTCCCAGGATCGAGTCCCGCATCGGGCTCCCTGCTCGGCAGGGAGTCTGCTTCTCCCTCTGATCTTCTCCCCTCTCATGTGCTCTTTCTCTCAAATAAATAAAATCTTTAAAAAAAAAAAAAAATGATCAGTGAGTTCAAGGTTTCTTGATCCACTAAATTTCCCTGTCAGATTTTCAGCTTTTCCAGCCATTGAGGAATATTGTTCAAATCCTTTATTTCATTAGGGTTAGCAAAACAGGGGTATTCTCAGTCTTTCACTCCTTATTGAATGAAATTCTTCTAAAAAGAAAACTATTTCCTCGAAAACTTTCTGGCTGCAGTTTATTTGGGAAAGGCAGGATAAACACTTGATTCTTTGCCTTTATGTACCAGATTTTGGAATAAGAAGTCAATTCCTTAGCATTGTCCAAAGTGGCCAACAAACTATTTTTTGTTGTTGTTGGGTCATGAAACTCACAGGTTTTAACATACTAGATGTGTTTTAATCTATGCCTATTGACAAAACAGCAGGTTTTTTTCCTTATCAGCTATTGCCAAAAGTTTTTCAAACTCGATCTTGCTATTCATAGAAGAAATAGAGGCATTCCAAATAACATTAAATCACAACATTTCTTTTTTCCAGCTCTGGTAATTTTTCTAATGAAGGGTGGGATTGAGGACATACACATAAGAAGGCCAGTTAAGAAATACAGCTAAAAAGTAAATAGCGTATCACACTAGCTTCTGGAATACATCAGATACCTTGGTTTTCTGATGTGTGTCTATACGATCCATTATGCAGGCAATGCTGAGGTGCTGGCTTTGATACACAGCTTATGTATCTTTCTATGCTTTTTAAAGGTCCTTACTGAACTCCTAGGTGCTAAGCATAGAGTTAAGTGCTATACCTGTGTTTTCTTAATCGTCGCAACACATTCGTGATATAGACGCTATTATTATCCCATTTTTACAAGGAAGGAACCTGCAGTTTAGGGAGGTTATGCAAGTTGCTCAAGATCCTACAGCTCTTAAGTAGCTAAGCTGGCACAGGAATCCAAGACTTTTTGACTCCGAAGTTCCCCATTCTTAAGTGTTACATAATTTTGGGAGTGATTCCTTTGTCACTTTCCCTAATTATTACCTGTATGAAACATCCTCGGGCATTTTCTCTTTGTTTCCCTCTTTATCCATCACTTCCTCCGAACTTACTCCATTTGGTTCAGGTTTGAAAAGTGTTTTGGAAAAAATGTCCTCAGTTTTTTTAAACTATAGAATAAGAAGAAAAATGATTCAAAAGAGAAGTTTGTTAAAAAATGATATCCTGTCAAATAGTTACTGAAATACATCTTTAGATTCAAGTATATGAAAAATATTTGCCCAGAGGGATGATGCACATTGCTAATAGCTAGCAGCTCTGAGATATAAGATTCTTTAATTGGGGTTAACAGTAATTTATTCTAGCCTTGATTATGTTTTAAATGTTCAATTAACCCATTTTTTGATGTAGTGAATACATCACTCAAGTTAAACAAAACCTATCATTTCACTTAGACTTATGGTCTCTGCAATGAAATGAAACGTAATTATTTTCAACATTACCACTTGATCTAATGTTCAGAAATCTACCCCTGTGGAATATTTGTTCTAAAATAATCTCTCTACCTCTTTGTCGAAATCCGTATTTGGAGGTTCTGCTTCTTTTAGTCGAAGAATTTCTGCCGCGGGAGTTTCATGGTTTGGCTTGACATCATTTTCTCTACTGACGGTATCCAATTCCTTAATGTTATCATCCCTTCTTCGAGTCTGTCCAAAAGATATATAGCAGAGAGTCATACCATGAAGCCATGTACGGTTTTGGATAGCACCTGTTAGTTTTCACTCACAAGGAGGTTTCCTTATGAAAACCAACAGAGGAAAAAAAAATATACATATATATCAGTATTCCACACATTTTTTCCCCATCTCTTTTAATCATCCATCCTGTACTTTGTAGAATATGTAATTATTCAACCGTTAATCTGCTGGATCTTTAGTAGCAGTGCCCGCCAGCTCTTGATTAGATGGCAAGGGGATTTCTAGGAAGGAAGAGTAACATTTCAGCTAATACATGTGTACTAACAGGGACAACCAGACAGAAGCCACTCAAACAGGTTCCCTAGTCTGCTATCTCTGTATTTATGAATTGGGGTAACAAACAAATCGTAAGAAATGGAATGGTGTCACTTTACAAGGGTGGGGTTGGGATGTGATGAATAGTAGGCTGAGAACTTTTATTTAGAAGCTCTCTCCTATTACAATTTAGGTCATGTTAAATTAGGACACAGAGTAATACACATTATATTGGAGGGGGAATTGGGGACTATCTTGGCATTTCACAGTTGCTGAAAGCACTTTTATCTTCTTAGTATCTCTGTGAAGTCGATGAGATGGGCTATATCATCATCTGATTTACAGCAGAGAACAGTGAGTCCACAACTGGTACAAGGACACCCAACAAGTAATACAGCTCTGACTTTTTGAGTTCCGGGCTATTTCCATTTGATTAAGCTGTCTTAGCTTATTATTATGGGAATTAAATAATATAAAATAACTATCCATATTGTAGACATTTTTGAAAACCCATCAATCATGTAACTCCATGATCCTGATTCAAGTGACGTTAGATTTACACAGAAGAATGATTAAATGCAATAGATATACCTGGGTAATCCTAAAGGGATTATCCCTGAAACCTGAAGGACTCTGTAAGGGTGACTGGTCTAAAGCACCAATAACATTTAATCCTTTTTTCTTTTCCCTCAAGCATGCTTGTTGATGTCTCCTTATTCTTTCCATTTGCTCTTCCACAGTCATCCTAGGTCGGGTACTTTCAGCCAAACAGAGCTGTTCCACTGCACTTCTGGGCCTTTCCTTTAAGTTAAACATAGACATATGAATACAAGGATGCAGAATAACTTCTGAAAAGTATGTTGGAATAAAAAATGTTCTAAAATGCATTCATTTTGTTCTCTAAGTCAAAAGTAGAGGCTTGTTAACACTGGAAAGGCAAACTGTTTTATCCTTCACTAGTAATTGGTGATGCATGGTCACTGTAACAGGAAACTGTATAAAACTCAAACTAGGAAAGGGCACAGCTTCTAAATATAAGAGATTTATTTTATTTTTAAAAAAATTTTCCCCAAGATTTTATCTTTAAGTACTCTCTACACCCAATATGGGGCTCGAACTTATAACCCCGAGATCAAGAGTTGCATGCTCTACCAACTGAGACAGCCAGGCACCCCAGAGATTTATTTTAATGAAAATGTGATGTTTTAAGTGACACATTTACTGTGAAAAGACCTGCAGAGAAAAATCCTTAGTTCGTGATCAATAACAGAACTATAAAAATATTATTTTCCATAAATCAGATGGTTTTATTTGAAAACTTTACATATATATATATATGACCCATTTTTATGGTTTACTGAAGGGTTTAAAAACATTTGTCACATTAAATAACCAATTCTTACTTCTTACTTTCTTACTAAAGATGTAAAACAATATTGGTATAAAATGCAAAAGAAGAACTTCAATATTAGTCATAAGCAAATTTTAGCTTATTTTATATAATAGAACATTTAAAGATTAAACATATGCTAGAATCCATGGCACAGAATCCATAGGTTTCTTTATGTCTCTGGTCTGAGTTGGTGGGGAGTGACTGTGAGACACTGGTGAAAAAACCCAGGGTGGAGGTAAGCATTTCTGTGATGAAGCAGTATATCAGGCAAACCCTCTAAGATCTTTTCTCACTCCCGCAATCTAAAAAATGCCTGGAGGCGGGGAGCAATAGCTCTAGAGCCATTTTCTTTTTTTTCTTTCTTTCTTAATAATGATTTTCTTTTTTTTTAAAAGATTTTATTTATTTTAGAGAGCGAGCACACACATGAGAGCACAAGCAGGGGGAGGGGCAGAGGGAGAAGCAGGTTCCCCACTGAGCAAGGAGCCCCACTTGGGGCTCAATCCCAGGACCTTGGGATCATGACCTGGGTCGAAGGCAGATGCTTAACCGACTGAGCCACCCAAGCGCCCCAACTAGAGCCATTTTCAATTGTATAGAAAAAATATCTTAAAGAGCTCAAATAAAAACTAAAAGGGAGAGGAAAATGAAAAGCCTTAATGTGCAGAAGTGATGGTGATTCTCTTTCATATGTAAAATAAAACACATTTGCTTTGGAAAACAAAACACCAAAAAACCAAAAAAACTATTAAAAAAAAAAGCAAATTCTAGATACAGATTGGGAATTGGCTACTATAGCATCCCTTTCCTTTTGTTATTTTAGATTTTATTAAGTTTATTATTTTATCCTTTTATTTTTAGTAACTACAAACATGTAGCCTTTCTCGCTTTTCTACTCTTATGCAAAAATGTCACACTGCAACTTTGTTTTCCAAGTTGTCATATTGTAAATATATACTGTTTTTAAATGTCAAATATTGTCAATTTTTAGATTTTTTTCTCCAGTGATAACTGGAAAAGAGTATCTCCCTGCAGTTTTAGTTAGTATTTATAAATTATTATGGGGTTGAACAATTATCATATATATTTTCCATAAAGAAACTCTTAAAAATAACTGACATATATTCATTCCTCATATATTATGGAACTTGTCTGTTATAGTCCAAGTATTTTAATCTAGCACTGATTTTGCTTATAAAGGTCTTTCCTGTACCAATATTATATAACTGTAGTCTTCCATACTTTTCCTACCTGTATTTGGTTATGTACAATTTTCTACTACTTAAGATAGTTATGTACTAAAAAAAGATAGTTACAGAATACAAAATCCACTAATATCTTTCTTCTTCATCTCAACACACTTTTTTTTTTTAAGATTTTATTTATTTATTTGAGAGAGAGAGAATGAGAGATAGAGAGCACGAGAGGGAAGAGGGTCAGAGGGAGAAGCAGACTCCCTGCCGAGCAGGGAGCCCGACATGGGACTCGATCCCGGGACTCCAGGATCATGACCTGAGCCGAAGGCAGTTGCTTAACCGACTGAGCCACCCGGCGCCCACATTTTAACTTTTTTTTTTAATGTAAGCTCTACACCCAATGTGGGGCTTGAATTCATGGCTACGAGATCAAGAGTTGCATGTTCTACTGACCAAACCAGCCAGGCATCCCTTAACATGCATTTTTATTTTAAATTTTATTTTATTTTCTTAAGATTTTATTTTTAAGTAATTTCTACACCCAACATGGGGCTTGAACTCAAAACCCTGAGATAAAGAGTTGCATGCTCTTCCAACTGAGCCAACCTTTATCTGTTTATTTTAGCATTATAATTTCCAAAGAAAATAGCCTTTCAATCAGTAAAAAAAATGCCTATGAACAAATGATACTATTATAAAACCATGACTGCTAATGGTAATATATTGATATATAGAAATTCATTAATTTTTATTCTACAATAATTATTTTTCTAGGTCTTTATAATTTTGTACTAATTAAAAATATATTTCTTGTATATAAATTTGTCAGATGTTTTGGGCATATATTTTGTAGCTGTAGTTTAATATCTTTCAAGAATAACCATAAATCTTATCATTAGTAGTACTTTTCATTCTTACAGTTTAAAATTATCAAATTACTTCATACCAAATTAGTAGAGAATTTATAAAGATGAAAAGTAAAAGTTCTGGGGGCACCTGGGTGGCTCAGTTGGTTGAGCATCTGGCTCTTGATTTCGGCTCAGGTCATGATCTCAGAGTTGTGAGATCGAGCCCCGTGCTGGACTCTGCACTCAGCTTGGAGTGTGCTTGAGATTCTCTCTCCTTCTGCCCCACCCCTGCTAACGCTAAGATAAATAAAATCTTAAAAAAAAAAAATTCTTGGGCACCTGGGTGGCTCAGTCAGTTAAGCGTCTGCCTTCAGCTCAGGTCATGATCTCAAGGGTCCTGGGATAGAGCCCTGTATTGGGCTCCTGCTCAGCAGGGAGTCTCCTTCTCCCTTTCCCCCTGCCCCTCCTACCTCCCCCCTCCCCTGCCAGCCCCACTTGTGCTCTCTCTCTCAAAAAAAAAAAAAAAAAAACTTTTTTACACCCTAAATTTCTTTTTTTTTTTTAAATATTTCGTTTCCTTAAAGATTTTATTTATTTATTTATTTGAGAGAGAGGGAATGAGAGATAGAGAGCATGAGAGGGAAGAGGGTCAGAGGGAGAAGCAGACTCCCCACTGAGCAGGGAACCCGATGCGGGACTTGATCCCGGGACTCCAGGATCATGACCTGAGCCGAAGGCAGTCGCTTAACCAACTGAGCCACCCAGGCGCCCTGCAGCCCAAATTTCTAAGACTACCTGGTGAAAAGGAGTTAAGTACCCTGATAATCCTCCCAAAATGACCAAGATTAGACTGGTTTACAGCAGGTTGAATTAAATGGATCTCAGATAAGTATGTGAAATATAGAATTTATTTCCCAATCTCAATTCACATTTCTCAGGGTCACCAGAGGACTGGCAAATTCCAAATCTACCACAGCTAAAAGGCCCGCTAAACTCAGGGTAGTCTGGAAATCCATTACCTTGTTGCCTGAAGGACATGTCCATCAGTCTCACCAAAGAAATTCTTAGAGATGTCAAGAGATGTAATATAAGGCAGCTATATTCCACAAACTGTGGACGTCAACTCAAGGCTGATCAAAACAAACCTAGATTAGGTACTGAGTAGGTCTGTCCCCTAGGTGCTAATTTCCTGAATGTAATTAAAAAAAAATTAAGATTACTAAGTTTTTCTTAGAGTATGTAAAAAAAATTTTGGTGAAACACTAAAAAGGAAATTATGTATGAGAAGACAATATATAGGATTAAAAATCCTTCTAGAAATTAACTTCTAGTTAAATACCGTTCTTGAATCCATCATCTTCTTAGTTTTCCTTAAGGTTACATAGGAGGCTATTGTCGAAGATTCAGGTGTTGGTGATTTTGTTCTGGGAGGGACTACTCCAACAGGAAAGTGGGAACCTAAAAATCAAAACAGCAGTGAGTTCTACAAAACATCCTTCACACAACATAATGCTTTCTTTTGACATACTCAATTCCTGAGGTTTTTATTTATTTATTTAATTTTTAAGTAGGTTCCGTGCCCAGTGTAGAGCCCAGAGCAGGGTTTCAGCTCCTAACCTTGAGATCAAGGGCTGAGCTGAGATCAAGAGTCTGCCGCTTAACTGACTAAGCCACACAGCCACCTCTCTGAGGCTTTTAAAATCAAAAGGCAAATTTATTGGAGCGCCCGGGTGGCTCAGTCAGTTAAGCGTCCAACTCCTGATTTCCACTCAGGTCATTTTCTCAGAATCGTGAGCTTTGTACTTCCTAAGATTCTCTCTCCCTCTTCCTCTGCACCCCCCCTTCCGTTAGCATGCACGTGCTCTCTCTCTCTCAAAAAAGGGGCAAATTTATTTTTATTTATTTTTTTTTCAAAATGTCTCTAATTGCCAGCCTCATGTTTATTTTATTTTATTTCATTTTTTAAAGATTTTATTTATTTATTTGACAGAGAGACACAGCGAGAGAGGGAACACAAGCAGGGGGAGTGGGAGAAGGAGAAGTAGGCTTCCCGTTGAGCACAGAGCCTGATGCGGGGCTCGATCCCAGGACCCTGAGATCATGACCTGAGCCGAAGGCAGACGCTTAATGACTGAGCCACCCAGGCGCCCCTGTTTATTTTTTTAAAGATTTTATTTTCAAGTAATCTCTATACCCAGTAGGGCTTGAACTTACAACCCTGAGATTAAGAGTCTGCATGCTCTACTGACTGAGCCAGCCAGGGGTTCTCTAGGGCAAATTTATTGTTTGAAAAGAGCCAGGGAAAATGTAGTAGCCTTTCATTAATGTACCCCACCTATGGTTCTACAGATTAATAGATGATATCAAACATTTTAATTATAAAATTAGAAATACACAATGGATAATATATCCTCACAACAACCTTCTAAAGGAAAGGTAAACGAAGTGCAGTGTCTGCACTGATTTACTTCCTCAAGTCCATATAGCTCAGCAGCAGCATGGCTGGGTCTTCCCCTTTAGCCTTCTTTCTATTCACAACATTTTCAGAGATTGAAAGGACCTTAATCTTCTCACATATTAAAGATCAGGAAAGGCATGGCCCAGAAAGGTTAAGTGATTTACCTAAATGTCCTTAATTTCCATTTGGTCTCTTTTGAGTCACACTGTCTCAATAAAGAGGCCACTAACAACATTATCAATAGTTACCTATAGGTAATCACTGCCACTTTCTCTTTTGTAATTTTAAAACTTTCTGAAATGAACACACACCATAGAAAACAAAACATACAACACAAAATCATTAACGCAACAAAAATAAAAGCTAAAAATAAGTTAACATATAAAATGTATGCATTTATACTGTAGTCATCTTGTTTAAGCAAAATATATGCACTATTATCCACTGAGGACATTAGTAAAAGAACAAATTGTTAATATCTCAATGGTTTCCTTAGGAAAAAAAAAATACCACTCTCTTTGGGCTCACTTACAGTTACAATAACTAAGTAGAAAAAGGAAAAAGGAAGTCTAATTTCTCCCCCAAAGACAAATAATAGGTCAATCATCCAGAACTCCTTTAATTTATACACCAATCTGTAGCTTAGATTTCTTTCTTTCTTTTTTTTTTAAGATTTTATTTATTTATTTGACAGAGATAGACACAGCGAGAGAGGGAACACAAGCAGGGGGAGTGGCGGAGGGAGAAGCAGGCTTCCCACCGAGCAGGAATCCCGATGTGGGGCTCGATCCCAGGACCCTGGGATCATGACCTGAGCCGGAGGCAGATGCTTAATGACTGAGCCACCCAGGCACCCCTGTAGCTTAGGTTTTAATATTGTTTATGAACTCTATGAATATTATAAGGTTGTATATTTAAGAATATGAAGAGCTGAACTGATACACAATATAGGTAATTTTGCAATTCAAAGAGAAAGCCTCTATTATCCCAGTTAGTGATCCATTTTTAAAAGCCCCACTTTAAGTCACGTGGCACAAATTATACCATAATTGATCTGCGTACTTCAGACATTTATATTCAGATGAGAGCTTATGATTATAAGTTAAAAAACAAACAACCCAAACACCTAGGGGTGCAAAGCTGGCTCAGTTGGGAAAGCATGCAACTCTTGATCTCAGGGTTGTGACTTAGAGCCCCAGGTGGGTATAGAGATTACTAAAAATAAAAAATAAAAAACCAAACACCTAAGTTTTAAGAGGGAAATTTTGAGGAAGAACTCAAACCGAATAGAGAACATATGTCAGACAAGGTATTTTTTTGTCAGTAAAGACATGCATTGATGGAACAAATAATTATCAACTTCTTTACTTTTTTCAATTCAATTAAATTCCTACTGATGAGTTAAAGTCACTTATTAAATTGCTAAATTTTGTAAACTTGACTGGTCACATTTACCCAATACAGATCATGGGGCATTATGACTACATAGGAGCCAGAAAAAAGAATGGAATAAGATATAAGGTGTAGTCCTTATTTTATTTTATTTTATTTATTTTATTTTTTAAAGATTTTATTTATCCATTCATGAGAGACAGAGCAAGAGAGAGAGAGAGAGAGAGAGAGAGAGAGAGAGGCAGAGGGAGAAGCAGGCTCAGGGAGCCCGATGCGGGACTTGATACCAGGACCCTGGGATCATGACCTGAGCTAAAGGCAGACGCCTAACCATCTGAGCCACCCAGGCGCCCTGTAGTCCTTAATTTTATATATGCTCTAAACACTTTGCCCATAGGAATTAAAAATGTTATATATGTGATATACAGCAACTTTCCCCCCATACCCTACCCAAAGTGGGTAGATGCTACTCAGGTCCAGGAAACCAGTGTTGTTGAAACAGGCGCATTCTGGCTAGGTTTATTGAGGTTTTTTTTTTTTTTTTAAATCTTTTATTTTTAAGTAATCTCCACACCTAAGGTGGGGCTTGAATTTACAATCCTGAGATTGAGAGAGTTGTATGTTCTACCCACTGAGCCAGCCAGGTGCCCCTAGATCTATTGAGTTTTTAAGAAAAGCTACAAAGTCCCTATTTTTTTTTTTAACCACAGGGAATGTTCCCTTATTTTTATTTTTTTAAGATTTTATTTATTTGAGAGAGTGAGAGAAAGAAGGAGCAGGGAGAAGGGGTAGAAACAGACTCTCTGCTGAACAGGGAGCCTGACGTGGGGCTCGATCCCAGGACCATGATATCACAACCCAAGCTGAAGGCAGATGCTTAACCTACTGAGCCACCCGGGCACCCCAAAATCCCAATCTTTAAATGTTGGCAACCATCAGGGCACCTGGGTGGCTCAGTGAGTTAAGTGTCTGCCTTCGGCTCAAGTCATGATCTCTTGGGTCCTGGGATCAAGCTCAGCTTCAGGCTCAGCACTCAGTGGGGAGACTGCTCCTCCCTCTTCCTCTGTCCCTTCCTCTGCTCGTGCTCTCTCTCTCAAATAAATAAAATCTTAAAACAAAACAAAACAAAATGGTGGCAACAACACATTTTTTTTTTTGTGGGCTAAGAAAACTCCACCACATTTATTCATAAATATTAATACTTACAAATATTTATAACTATTAATGCAAAAGTATGAAATAAATCATTATCAAATAGAATCTAGTAGCACCTTAAAGGAAAAATATACCATAAATGAGGTTTATGTTAGGAATGCAAATGGATGGTTTTTAAAAATTCTTTATTTCTCTCTCCCTCTCTCTCTCTTTCTTTCTTTCAGCAGGCTCCATGCCCACTGTGGAGCCCAACGTGGGGCTTGAACTCACAACCCTGAGATCAAGACCTGGGCTGAAGAGTCAGACCCTTAACTGACTGAGCCACCCAGGCGCCCTGCAAATGGATGGTTTAATTTAGAAAATCTAGTAAATGTAACTCAACACATTAATATATAAAGAGAAAAATATGATCGCTAGCAAGGCATTTAATGAAATTCAGTATCCTTTCATGAAAAAGGAAAACTTGGGGCACCTAGGTGGCTCAGTCAGTTGAATGTCTGCCTTCGGCTCAATTTGTGATCTCAGGGTCCCAGGATCAAACCCTGCGTTTGGTCCCTGCTCAGCAGGGAGTCTGCTTCTCCCTCTCCTCACCACTCATTCTCACTCTCTCTCTCAAGTGAATAAAATCTTAAAAAAAAAAAAAAGGAAAGCTTTAGTGAAATGAAAATGAATGGATACTTCCATAATATGATCAATGTAGATAGCCCACACCAAAGCCAGTACCATGATCAACGGGAAAAATTTAAAAGCATTTCCACTTAAGTCAACAACAGAATTAGGATATCCACTACCTTCTCTATTAACACTATCGTGCAACTACCGGCTCCAGAGAAGGAAGATACATAAAATGAGGAAAGGAAAATTACAATTATAACATAACTGTATATCTGGAAAATCCCAGCAAAACCACTAACTACTACAAACTACAAAACTACTAACTAACTACTTCAACTACTACTAAAAACATTTAGATAATTTAAAAGGGTAATGCCACTCTTAACTGGGGCAATGTGGTATGCCATAAGTGGAATCTCACCGTGGTTTTAATTTGCATTTTCCTGTGACTACAAACACTGTACTTTTTTTTTAAGATTTTATTTATTTGTCAGAGAGAGAGACACACAGAGAGAGCACAAGCAGAGGGTAGTGGCAGGCAGAGGGAGAAGCAGGCTTCCTGCCGAGCAAGGAGCATGATGTGGGGCTCGATCCCAGGACCCTGAGATCATGACCTGAGCCGAAGGCAGACACTTAACCAACTGAGCCACGCAGGTGCCTCAAACTCTCCAGTTTCTGTCTTTACTGTTCTTTCCTAGTTTTATTGAGGCTAAATGTATAACTAAGATGCAGAGATCTTAAATGCACAACCGGTGAGGTTTGATAAATGCACTCTTATCCCTAGCTGCATATGCATACAACATCTGTATAATCATTTCAATCAAGATAGACCATCTTCGTCACCCCACAAAATTCCCTTCCAGTCAATCCCACCCTTCTGCCAAAGGCAACCGTTTTGTTGTTGTCTATCACCAAGAGATTAGTTTTGTCTATTCTCAAACTTCATATAAAGGGAATCATATACCTGTCTCTTTATGTCTGACTTCTTTCACTTAACGTAATTTCTTTTCATATTTATACATGTTGCTGAGAGTCACACATGTACATCTATCAGCAGTGTTTTTTAATTGCTGAGGAGTATTCCATTATATGAAGATATCACAATTTGTTTATCCATACTCTTGTATACAGACATATGGGTTGACCCCAATTTTGTTTATAATGAATTAAAACTGCTGTAAAAATCCTTATATGTTTTTTTGAGGAATGATGTTTCCATTTTCTGTAGGTAAATATATAGGAGCAGAACTGTTGGATATGATAATTGCATATTTAATTTAAATTTTGTAAGAAACTACCGAACTGTTGTTCTATCTTATACCACCATCAGAAGTGTGTGTGAATTCCAACTGTTTCATGTCCTAACAAACACTTGGTAGTAAGTCTTTTTTTTTTTTAAAGATTTAATTTATTCATTTGTGAGAGAGACAGAGAGAAAACAAGCAGGGGGAGAGGCAGAGGGAGAGGGAGAAGCAGACTCCCTGCTGAGCAAGGAGCCCGATGCGGGACTCGATCCCAGGACCCTGGGATCATGACCTGAGCCGAAGGCAGAGGCTTAACCATCTGAGCCACCCAGGCGCCCTTGGTAGTAACTCTTAATTTTAGCTATTCCAGAAGGTGTGAACTGATTTTAATTTGCATCAAAACTGCATTTATGATTGATCAGTTGTAAACTTTTTCGTATGTTTGTATACTTTATTTGTTTCCAAGTCTTTTGCCTACTTTTATTGGGTTGTCTTTATTATTGATTTGCAAGAGTGTTTATATATTCTGAATACAAGGCCTTTGTCATATGATATATATACTATTTTCTTCCATTCTAATGGGGAGGAGTTTTAAATTTTGATGAAATCTAATTAATCAGTTTTCACTGAGAGTACAAGCCCTCAGAAGTTTCCAGCTTTACCTGAGGGGATGTCCTATCAGATTCCTAATTTGTTCAGGTTCTGAGCTTTGTACATCACAAGGCATTTTAGTGCTCCACTTAAATTACTGGATTCCTCCTGTTATAAACTCACGACCCCAAGATCAAGAGTCCACATGCTCTATAGACTGAGCCAGCCAGATGCCACTGCATATAACTTTTGATTCCTCAAAAACTTAACTATTATAATAGTCTACTGTTGACCAGCAACTACTAACACATTATTCTGTATGTTGTATGTGTTATATACTGTATTCTTACAATAAAGTAAGCTAGACAAAAGAAAACCCTATTAAAACAACCACATGGAAAATACATTTACAGTACTGTACACTATTTATTGAAAAAAATCTGCATTCAAATGCACCCTCATAGTTCAAATCTATGTTGTTCAAGTCAACTGTATATTAACACACACACATACAGGTTTTTGTGAGACATGTATACATTTTCCTATATAACCACAATATCACTTACTGTTGATAATCTCTAGAACATACTTAAATTTCCATAATTGTCCCAAGAATCTCTTTAGAGACTTCAAAAAACATTTACTTATAATTTTTTTTTAAAATCTCTTCACCCAACATAGGGCTCAAGCTCACAATCCTGAGATCAAGAGCTGCATGTTCCACTGACTGAGTCAGCCAGGTGCTCCTAGAGATTTTTTGAAAACCACAATCTAGGCGCCTGGGTGGCTCAGTTGTTAAGTGTCTGCCTTCAGCTCAGGTCATGATCCCAGGGTCCTGTGATCAAGCCCCACATTGGGCTCCCTGCTCTGTGGGAAGCCTGCTTCTCCCTCTCCCACTCCCCCTGCTTGTGTTCCCTCTCTCACTGTGCCTCTCTCTGTCAAATAAATAAAATCTTAAAAAACAAAACAAAACAAAACAAAAAAACCCACCACAATCTAGGAGAGATAGTCCAAGATGGTGGAGGAGTAGAAGACCTTAGTTTCGTCTGGTCCCAGGAATTCAGCTAGATAGTTATCAAATCGTTCTAAACACCTGTGAACTTAACCAGAGGTCTAAGAATAGCTGCAACTCTCCAAATAGAAAAGCCACCACTTTCTGCAAGAATGACAAGATGGAAAAACTCACCTCAAAAAAGATAAGAGGCAATACTGACTGCCAGGGACCTAATCAGTATGGATAGAAGTAAGAAGTCGGAACTAGAGTTCAGAATAACGATTATAAATTTACTAGCTGGGCTTGAAAAAAGCATAGAAGATACTAGAGAATCCCTTTCTGGAGAAATAAAAGAACTAAAATCTAATCAGACCAAAATAAAAAAGGCTACCACTGAGATGCAATTAAAAATGGAGGCTCTTAACTGCTAGAATAAATGAGGCAGAAGAGAGAATTAGTGATACAGAAGACCAAATGATGGAGAATAAAGAAGCTGAGAAAAAGACAGAGGAACAACTACTGGATCATGAGGGGAAAATCTGAGAGATAAGTGATACCATAAAGCAAAACAATATTAGAATAATTGGGATCCCAGAAGAAGAGAGGGAGAGAGAGAGAGAGAGAGTCAGAAGGTACACTGGAGCAAATTATAGCGGAAAACTTCTCTAATCTAGGGAAGGAAGCAGGCATTCAAGTCTAGGAGACACAGAGGACAGCCCCTCAAAATGAATAAAAATAGGTCAACATCGTGGAATATAACAGTGGAACTTGCAAATCTCAGAAACAAAGAGAAAATCCTGAAAGCAGCTAGGGACAAGAGGTCTGTAACCTATAAGGGTAGAAACATTAGACTGGCAGCAGACCTATCCACAAAGACCTAGCAGGCCAGAAAGGACTGGCATGATATATTCAGGGTGCTAAATGATAAAAATATGCAGCCAAGAATACTTTATCGAGCTAGGATGTCATTCAAAATAGAAGGAGAGATAAAAAGTTTCCAGGACAAACAGAAACTAAAAGAATTTGTGATCACTAAACCATACCTGCAAGAAATACTAAAGGGGATCCTTTAAGCAAAAAGAGAGGCCAAAAGTAACACAGACCAGAAAGGAACAGAGACAATATACAGAAACAGTGACTTTACAGGTAAAACAATAGCACTAGATTCATATCTTTCACTAGTTACTTTGAATGTAAATGGGTTAAATGCTCCAATCAAAAGACACAGGGTATCAGATTAGACAAAAAAAGCAAGACACATTGATATGCTGTCTGCAAGAGACTCATTTTAGACCCAAAGACACCTCCAGATTGAAAGTGAGGGAGTGGAAAACCATTTATCAGGCTAAAGGGTATCAAAAGAAAGCTGGGGGGCAATCCTTATATAGACAAATTAGATTTTAAACCAAAGACTGTAATGAGGAAGGACACTATATCATAATTAAAGGGTCTATCCAATGAGAAGATCTAACAATTATAAATATTTATGCCCCTAACATGGGACCAGCCAAATATATAAGCCAATTAATAACAAAATCTAAGAAACACATCTATAATAATACAGTGATAGTAGGAGATTTTAACACCCCCCTCACTGCAATGGACAGATCATCTAAGCAGAAGATCAACAAGGAAACAAGGGCTTTGAATGACACAATGGACCAAATGGACTTCACAGATACATTCTGAGCATTCCATCCTAAATCAACAGAGTACATATTCTTCTTGAGTGCACATGGAACATTATCCAGAATAGATCACATACTAGGTCACAAATCAGGTCTCAACTGGTACCAAAAAACTGGAATTACTCCCTGCATATTTTCAGATCACAATGCTTCGAAACTGGAAGTCAATCACAAGAGGAAATTTGGAAAGAACTCAAATACATGGAGGCTAAAAAGCATCCTACTAAAGAATGAATGGGTCAGTCAGGAAATTAAAGAAGAATTAAAAAAATTCATGGAAACAAATTAAAATGAATACACAACTGTTCAAAATCTTTGGGATGCAGCAAAGGTGGTCCTAAGAGGGAAGCATATAGCAATACAAGCCTTTCTCAAGAAACAAGAAAGGTCTCAAATACACAACCTAAAGGAACTGGAGAAAGAACAGCAAATAAAGCCTAAATCCAGCAGAAAAGAATAAAGATTGGAGCAGAAATCAATGAAATAGAAACCAAAAGAAAAGTAGAACAGATTAACAAAACTAGAAGCTGGTTCTTTGAAAAAATTAATAAGACTGAAAAATTCCTGGCCAGACTTGTTAAAAAGAAAAGAGAAAGGACCTAAATTTTTATTTAAGAGGAGAGATCAGGGGCGCCTGGGTGGGTCGGTTGGTTGGGCGCCTCCCTTTGGCTCGGGTCGTGATCTTAGGGTCCTGGGATCCAGCCCCACATCTGGCTCCCTGCTCGGTGGGGAGACTGCTTCTCCCTCTGCCTGCTGCTCCCCCTGCTCGTTCTCTCTCTCCACCCTCCTCTTCTCTGTCAAATAAATAGATAAAATCTTAAAAAAAAAAAAGAGAGATCACAACCAACACCAAAGAAATACAATTATAAGAACATATTATGAGCAATTATATGCTAAAAAATTAGGCAATCTGGAAGAAATGGATGTATTCCTAGAAAGTTATAAACTACCAAAACTGAAACAAAAAGAAATAAAAAAGCTGAACAGACCCATAACCAGCAAGGAAGTTGAAGCAGTCATCAAAAATCTCCCAGTAAACAAGAGTCCAGGGCCAGATGGCTTCCCAGGGGAATTCTACCAAACATTTAAAGAAATATTAATACTTATTCTTCTAAAGCTGTTTCAAAATATAGAAATGGAAGGAAAACTTCCAAATTCATTTTATGAGGCCAGCATTACCTTGATCCCAAAACCAAAGACCCAACCAAAAAGGAGAATTAAAGACCAATATCCCTGATGAACATGGATGTCAAAATTCTCACCAAGATACTAGCCAATAGGATCCAACAGTACATTAAAAGGATGATTCACCATGACCAAGTGGGATTTATTCCTGGGCTTCAAGGATGGATCAATATCCGCAAATCAATCAATGTGATACACTACATTAATAAAAGGACCAGAACCATATGAACCTCTCAATAGATGCAGAAAAAGCATCTGACAAAAATACAGCATCCTTTCTTGAATAAAACTCTTTACAGTGGAGAATAGAGGGAACATACTTCAGTATCATAAAAGCCATACACGAAAAGCCCACAGTGAATGGCATTTTGAGAGCTTTTCCCTAAGGTCAGGAAGACGACAGGGATGTCTACTTTCACCACTGTTGTTCAAATAGTACTAGAAGTCATAGCCTCAGCAATCAGACAACAAAAAGAAATAAAAGGTATCCGAATCAGCAAAGAAGTCAAACTTTTACTCTTAGCAGATGACATGGTTAACTCTATGTGGAAAACCCAAAAGGCTCCACCCCAAAATTGTTAGAACTCATACAGGAATTCAGCAACGTGGCAGGATTTAAAATCAATGCACAAAAATACATTTCTAGTTGCATTTCTATACAGTAACAATGAGACAGAAGAAAGAGAACTTAAGGAATCGATTCCACTTACAATTGTACCCATACCTAGGAATAGACCCAACCAAAGAGGAAAAGGATCTGTACTCTAATAACTACAGAGCACTTATGAAAGGAATTGAGGAAGACACAAAGAAATGGAAAAACATTCCATGCTCATGGATTGGAAGAACAAATATTGCTGAAATATCTATGCTACCTACTGCACTTTATTTTTATTTTTAAAGATTTTATTTGAGAGAGAGAGAATGAGAGAGAGCACATGGGGGGGGGAGGGTCAGAGGGAGAAGCAAACTCCCTGCCAAGCAGGGAGCCCGATGCGGGACCCGATCCAGGACTCCAGGATCATGACCTGAGCTGATGGCAGCCGCTTCACCAAATGAGCCACCCAGGCGCCCCCCTACCGCACTTTATAAGTTCAATGAAATCCCTATCAAAATATCATCCACTTTTTTTCCACAGAGCTGGAACAAATAATCCTCAAATTTGTATGGAACCAGAAAAGACCCCAAATAGCCAGAGGAATGTTGAAAAAGAAAACCAGAGTTGGTTGCATCACAATTCTGGACTTCAAGCTCTCTTACAAAATTGTAATCATCAAGACAGTATGGTACTGGCACAAAAAGAGATACACAGAACAATGGGGCAGAATAGAGAACCCAGAAATGGACCCTCAATGAGGGCACGTGATGTAATGAGCACTGGGTATTATGTAAGACTGACGAATCACTGACTTCTACCTCTGAAACTAATAATACATGATATGTTAATTGAATTTAAAACAAACAAACCACAATCCAATCAAGGTTGAATCATTGCACTGTATCTGGCCTTTTCTATCTTTTTATTCTTGACTACTGCCCCCTCTATCCTTTTTCTTTACAACCCTGAAGAATGATCAGTATTTAAAAAAAAAAAATCAGGGGTGCCGGGCTGGCTCAGAAGGAAGAGTGTGCAAATCTTGATCTCAGGATTGAACTCACAATCTCCTATCTCCACGTTGTGTGTAGAGATTACTAAATACTAAAAATAATTAAACTTTAAAAAGTCAGAGTACACCCAGTAAGAGTACTACATCATGGAATTTGTTTATTTATGTGTTTTTTTGGTTAAGTAAACCCTACGCCTAATGTGGAGGTCCAACTCATGACCCCAAGATTAAGAGTCACATGTTCTACTGAATGAGCCAGCAGGGTACCCCTCAGCCCTTGATCTTTTATGTACAATTTTCAAACAGAAGAAAACCAAAATCTCCCTACCCCAAAATCTCAAAAAATGGAAAGCTTTTCAAAAGTTTAGAATGTACTTATTTCTCAGTAAAACCTAACCTGGACTGATATGAAGCTTTTTAGTCTTTATCCCTCTTTGGGTGAATATTCCAGAAATATTAAGTTATTTCAGAAGGGGATGTGGCCTCATGCCTAGCTGAGATGACATGTAATGCATGGTTTATGGGTCATGTTACCTTCCTAATATGTGAAACTTCTGATTTCAGAAGCTCATCAGATTCCAAAGGTTTCAGATAAGGGATTGTGGACTTGTATATATACATACTGGGCCAACATGTAAACTGATTTTATTGTTAAAATGTCTGAAAAACACAGGAGATAAAACATATCCCAAATGCTGACCTTTAACGGAAGTTTCCATTTCTGAAACAGGTTCTGATTTTTCTTCTCCATTAGATTCATCAACTTCTGCCACTGTTGTTAACTCTGGTTCACTCTTGTAGAGTCTATAATCTGGACCCTTGAAAGGAAGACATGTAATTTCAAAAAAAAAAAAAATTGGCACAAGTTTCTTTTATAATGTTTACCTCTAAAGCCTCAAATCAAACCCCGAAAACTGAAAGCTTCAGTCAGCTATCTTGGGTACAGGCACAATTGATATATATATATATATATATATTACAAATAACATAGGAAAAAATCTGAAATATTTTTAACCAGTAAAAGTTTTGGTTTTCAAATTAAGAATATTCTTATTAGGGACAAAGTCATTAGAACATTTTTTATCACAGTACATCTGAGGTCTGAAAATAATTATATCATACTAATTCAATTAGCCCTATTCCTTACCTCCTTAATTCTCTTCTAGCTTACTGCATTTTACATTTATTTGTTTAATCCCAAACCTCTTATTTCCAGCTTCCATGGGTAACATCTCTCCTTGGCAATGTCCACATCCTCTAATAGTTTTCCTAGATGAAACTGCCTATATCCCAACCCTTTGATCATTCCTAGCAACAATCTTTTTTCATTCTCACTTCTTTCTGATCCAAAGATATTTTACCTCTAATATCCTGAAATGGTATATTTAAAATATGACTTCTTAGGCAAATGCAAAGTAACCACTTTACAAAAACATTTATTAAAAATATGAAATCATGAAGTATTAAAATTGTAAAAATACAAAAAAATGAGAATGGTAAAACCAAAACAGGAAAAGCACAAATGATAACTACATATAAACAAACAGAAAAACACTGGCTAAAAGTGGGGTTATAATTAACAAAAAGTTTGAGTGTAAAATAAACTTTCAAAAAATGAGAGGGCAGGTACATGATTGATTATTCTGTGGCTACTGAAGCCACTTACACAGTGAGATCCATTTCTTGGATATCCTTGAACTTGATGACTCTTCTTTTCTTCAGGCAGATGGACTGGGCCCCTGCTATAACAGAGCAAGGAGCTGCTATCACTGGGCAGAGGGGGGATTATGGGAGGCTGCTCTGTAAAGTCATAGGACCGAGGAAGTGGAGGACGAGGTGGGACTACTTCCTCTTCCTAAAGATTGTAGAATAGTCACCTTATTTAGATAAGCATATTGAATTAAGTATATCTAAATTCTTTGCAATGGTAAGTTAACTTAAATTCACTTTAAGATAATTAAAGGGACACTGCCAAGCCAAAAGTCTCATATTGAAAAGTAAGTAAAAAAATGCAAAGTGTGATAGCCAGTAACTGGGTCTTAAACATTTTTTTTTTCCTCTAACATATGGGTTATTAGCGTTCATCTGAAGCTTAACATCAAAACAGATGTATGAAACTACTGTTATTTCACTTTTAAAAACAGAAGAAAATAATTAATTTAAAAATCTTTTTTTTGGTAAATTAAGAGACAAAATAAAGAAACATTTTTTTGATTGGTTTTAATACAAAATTCAAGACCACAGATGGTTTCAATCAGGTTGACAGTATCTCTTTGTAGTTGTAATTTCTCTATGGTATGCATGACACACAGCCAACTTATCTATCAACCATCCTACAAATTTTACCAAGAATAAGAAACAATGATAAATATTCAGATTACTTGTATTAGAAAAAGTATGACAATGTTAAAGCTCTAACATAGATGAAAAGTAGTGATTCAATTTTTTTTTTTTGCATTAAGGGAAGAAAAATCACATCTGTTAGAAGTATGAAATTACTAGTCAGTGAAATTTCAAGATTAAAACAGTAACTTAAATATATTTAGGAAACATTTTTGTTATGAAGAGAAGACAAATTCTAATTCATGTGTTACACATTTAAAATAATTTAGAGATAGATAATCCAAACTTACCTCATTTTTGTACTTAACTGTTGAGAAAGGCTTTGACCCTGCCATACCTAAAAAAAAAAAAAATGTAACTACTTACACTAAACATATTCTTTAAATCTACATAAAAAGGAATCATTTCATCTCATTTATTTTGTTTTATTTTTAAAGATTTTATTTTTAAGTAATCTCTACACCCAAAGTGGGGCTTGAACTCACAATGCTGAGGTTAAGAGTCGCATGGTCTACTGACTGTGCCAGCTAGGCACCCCCATTCCACTTATTTTAAATGAAGCCTTCAGTTTCTAATCCCTTGTTTATTAATGTTTCCAGAATCTGAAAGCAACTGCATTTAAAAACACAAATTAAAATATCTAGTTTAAACAAGAGTATAGGGAAATGGGTTTTTTGAAGCACTACTGATGTAAATATAATTCAGTACAATTATTTAGGAGGGCAATCTGGCTGTGCCTTTCAAAATGAAAGATGTGTGCTCATTTCCAACTTCTTGTAATCCCTAGCCTTCGCGTTTAGCTATGTATACAATAACACACACACACACACAACCTCAAATTTGTATGGAACCAGAAAAGACCCCAAATAGCCAGAGGAATGTTGAAAAAGAAAACCAGAGTTGGTTGCATCACAATTCTGGACTTTAAGCTCTCTTACAAAATTGTAATCATCAAGACAGTATGGTACTGGCACAAAAAGAGATACACAGAACAATGGGGCAGAACAGAGAACCCAGAAATGGACCCTCAATGAGGGCACGTGATGTAATGAGCACTGGGTATTATGTAAGACTACCTACTGCACTTTATTTTTATAAAGTTTTATATTTTTTCTATTTATAAAAATAGAAAAAAACCGAACCCCATACCTGGAAACAACCTATATGTCCAACAGAAATGGATAATTATAGTTCATCTATACAATGGATTCTTACAGTTATTATTGTACTGTACTGTTAAGGAGAAAAAACCAAATTGTTGAAAAATAAGTATACTATGATTCCATTCTTTGTTGTGGGGAAAAAAAAATCATAAAAGCAAAACATTATGCAGGTGTACAATTATACACAAAAAACAGTAATTTATTTTTGCTGTGGGTGAGGCTGGCAGAACTTCTGCTTTTTACTTTATAAACTTATGTACTTCAATGTTACAAGAGTGCTTGTTTTCTGATGTCAAAAATCCATTCAAATAACAAAAGAAATCCAATTCTATGCGTCATCCTATTTACGTATTTATTTATTTAAAAAGTTTATTTATTTATTGTAGAGTAATCTCTACACCCAACACAGGGCTAACACGGGGCTCAAACTCACGACCCTGAGATCAAGAGTTGCAAGCTCTTCTGCCTGAGTCAGCCAGGCACCCTGTGTCATTCCACCGAGATATAAGATTATGGTCAATTACTGCAGAAAAGCTGATTTACCTGTTTCTGTAGTGCTTCTTTGCTGTTTGTGTTTACTCAGTCCTTCCATGACATCCTGAATTCTCCAAAGTTCTTTCTGAATCTGTGCACGCTGAATTCCTGCTGATTCAGTCTTTCATGAAAAAGAGCCCACACAGAAGGGGAAAAAAAAAAGTTGTAAATCCCACTAATTATATATTTAAAAAAATGAGAATTGCAGTGGATTAAGTTTTGAGAATATTTAACATGCTCTCTGTGACTCTCCCAATTTTTCAACTTCTGTGGCCTTTGATGAAGCAGAGAAAGAAAAAATTCAATTTCTCAGACTTAAGTGTACTATTTCACATCTCTTCAATAAGCTCTGGCTTGCATTATTGCTGATCACAAGGAACTAAAAAATGGAAAACAAAAAGAAAACAGAAGAAAATAGAAACTCACAAACTCAAATTAAAAAAAATATTTTTAAGGGAGAAGAAAAAAGAAATGGGAAGTATACTAATTTCCTAAGTTCTAGAAATTCTAGAAAATGAGATCATATTGGTTTTCAGTAAGATTCTAATAGAACTCTATGACTTACTGATACTTTGGATAACAAGAAATATCATTTTTTGGAATGTAAATTTATTTATTTATTTATTTAAAGATTTTATTTATTTATTTGACAGAGAGCGAGATAGCGAGAGGGAACATGAGCAGGGGGAGTGTGGAGAGGGAGAAGCAGGCTTCCAGCTGAGCAAGGAGCCTGATGTGGGGCTCGATTCCAGGACCCTGAGATCATAACCTGAGCCAAAGGCAGATGCTTAATGACTGAGCCACCCCGGCACCCCAGGAATGTAAATTATTTTTTTAAAAAAAGGGCAGTGAAGTACAAAACTGTCACATTAACCAGAAAAAAAAATATAGCTAAAAAGTCCTCTGAGGGGTGAAAATATGCTTTTAAAGTCTATAAACATAAAGACTATGTGCTATGCTGCTTCAAAAAGGCACTACATAACCTTAGTTACCCAGTTTTCCAAGCCATAGGGCTAGAAATATCAAAATAAAAGGAAGTATTCACACAAGACCCAAACACAAGGATAACCCAGGGATGTGAATACTGATAGAGACTTCTAGGGAGTGAATTTCAATTATAAAAATCAGATATGTGCACATGGAAATAGGATACATATTATTTTTGCAATAATTAAAAAAATGTATGTAGTTTTACCTTTCTGAAAGGTGTACAATGAAAATCTCATTTTTGTATTATTTTGCATTTCTCTAATTATGGTGACTCTGAACAATATTTAAACACTTGTTAGCAATCTGAGTTTTACTTTCTATAGATTAACAAGTCACATTCTCTCCATTTTTCTAATGTATCGCTTCTCCAAATCAAAAAGAAATTTCCTTGAAGATCAAAATAGTCACTCTTGTTGAATTTTAGTGGTTAACAATACTTTTTGCCAGTATGCCAACTTTTAAGTTTGTTTATGTTGCCTTCATTGTTTGCTTATTTATTATTATTATTTTTAAAGTAAGCTCTACACTCAATGTGGGTCTTGAACTCACAACCTCTAGATGAAGAGTCGCCTGCTCTCCTGACTGAGTCAGCCAGGTGCCCCGTTTACTTATTTATTTAATAAACACTATACAGTATGTTTTATGTGCCTGATACTATTTTAAGTGCTTCAAAAATATCAACATATTTAGTCATTATAATAATCTGATAGAGGTAGGCACTATAATTTTTATTTTATAGTTGTGAATACTGAAGTGCAGAGTCATTATGTAACTGGTCTATGTGCGATGTTATAGCTCATAGAGTGAGCCTTTTAGTTCTTTATTTTTTCAAAACAAAACAATATTGTGGTCTTCATTATACCTTTAAAATATTAGTACTATTTTGATAATTTTTTCACAGAATTCTGGAAGAAATCTGATTAGAATAGAATTTGAGTTTATATGAAGAATTTTCATTGAGAGAATGTTAAATTAGGCCATCCATGAACATGGTATACCAATTCCACTTTTCTATTTATTTAAATCTTATGTCCTATAATATAGACATTACATTTTCATGATGAACATTTTTTGTTAAGTTAAATCAGGTAAACTGCTGTGGCCTGAAAGCTAAAAATGAATTTTCACATCTTAAGGGGTTATAAAAAAAAACAAAACTGTGTAAGATTATGTGACTGAGTATATACATCTGCAACATCTAAAATATTTTAATATCTGGTCTTTTACAGAAAAAGTTTGTTGACTCCTGGGTTATTTCTTAGATATTTCAGGTTTTTTTTTTTTCCTACTGTAGTTAGTATTGACCTCAGTGTTCAATATAGAATTCACAACCACACATGTGGGTACTTAAATTTAGATAACTAAAATGAAATACAATTAAAAATTTAGTTTCTCGTCACACTGGCAACATTTCAAGCCCAAAAATAGCATGTAGCTAGTGGCTACTATACTGGACAGCCCAGATGGAGGACGGTTGGTTTTCTAAGAGTCAACTTTACTAACCTTTATTCCTTGTATTGACTTGTCTGTTGAGTCCATAAGGTTTCCAAGGCAGATGGCTAAATTTATCGTCACAAGCATGAAGTGACTTTTACTATTTTCTCGAACATATATTGTCTTCCCTTTCTCAGAGCAACACTTTAAGACAGGTAATACTGTTTCTATTTTACAGACAAGAAAATTAACACCTGGAACTTAATTCCAGATGTGACTGTTTACAAAACTGGATTCTTTATGCTAAGCATTGCTGCATCTTTCCCTATCCAATAACATATCAAAAGTCAATAGGCCAAAATAGTTTGATAAAAAAGAGGCATTTAATATAGAATGCATTAGGATAAATTATTTTTTTATTTTTAAGTAATCTCTATATCCAACATGGAGCTCGAATTCACAACCCTAAGATCAAGAGTTGCACACTGTACTGACTGAGGCAGCCAGGTGCTCTGGATGAGAATAAATTTTATGAAAAGGTAAGTTATCCTTTATTTGATAAGTCCATTTAAATTCAACACTTCAGTATTACCTTTAACACAGTTAGGCAGGAGCAAAAACATCACAGGGATCACACCATGTGCCCAACAGAAAAAAGAACTTTTAAACAATGAGAAATGGGCTACTTCGTGGGATAGTAAGATTCCTATCATTGAAAGTATTTAAACCTACGTCTTAGGTGGCCAATAATGTAAAAACTGTTAAGGGCATGCATAAATCTTTTTTTTTTTTTTAAGATTTTATTTATTTGACAGAGAGAGCGAGAGCAGAAACACAAGTAGGGGGAGTGGGAGGGGAAGAAGCAGGCTTCCCGCGGAGCAGGGAGCCCGATGTGGGGCTCTATCCCAGGACCCTGGGATCATGACCTGAGCCAAAGGCAGACGTTTAACGACTGAGCCACCCAGGCACGCCATGGGCATGCACAAATCTAACGACGTGGGTTGTACAGTACCAGTCAAAACCAGTTGAGACAATGCAGAAAAAAATTCACTTCTGTACCTGAACTTCACCAAGGCAATCTAGCTGTTCTTGCATCTGGTTCCTGGTAACAGTTACATCGTATTCTAACTTGTCATATTCTCTCCATGCTCGTTCCAGTTCCTAAAAATCAAAGAGCATTAATTACTTTAATGGGGAAAAATGTGCTTTTATATTGTTATCACTGCAACTACAAGCTTTCTAGGTTTTAGAAAATTGTGTAGTTAATACTGGGCAAAATAAAAACTTTTGTAATTCATTTTCCTTTCCTTATAATTCATTTTTCCTTTCCTTTCCTGTTTAAAGCATTATCTTATCTACCCTGGTTAAAATTTCTCCATAAATAAAAAATACTAAATAGGTTCTATTTTAGCATGTTGGATTTTCAATAACACCAGAAGCCTGAGATATCTTTACTTGGAATAAATTTACAGTAATGTAATAAACCTATTTCAGCTAAATAAATCAGTGAATCCTGCTTATAGAGACTCAATATAGACGCTACTCACCTATTTTTTTCTCCTTTGGAAATAAAATCACCCCCAACCCTAAAATCACAGAGAAAATTTTCACATTGGTCTTTAACCACCTGTCATCTACTGAATATGGAATGATTCTACAAATGGTCAAAAATACATTGTCACTTCACTGTTTCAGGATGCTATTCTATGGGAGTGCAGGTACTCTTCTATAAGTTGTAATTACTCTTCAGAGAGTTCAGAGTGGTATGAAGTCAACAAACTGATAAAGTAAGGCAAGGATTTTGATCAGTTTTATTACTAGTATATAGTGTGGTGTTGGCACATGTAACACAAACAACAAAAATATAGGGAGCACTGTTGTAAAATGAATTAGTAACTCTTGTCTAGGAATCTTCCACAACTAGAGATTTCATGCCCTGAACTGTGCTGAATGAAGCCCGCCCTGGGAAACGTCAGTTTAACAACACTAATAGTCTTGGGATAAGGAAATAAGGTATGGTGTACGGAGGAAAGGTTATTTAAAATAATCTAAACAGTTTTTTTTTTAATTGAAGAATAGTTAACACAATGTTACATAATAATCTTAACAGTTTGTTCCTAACGGTTCTCTTTTAAAGTTATTTTACTTCTGGGGCACCTGGGTGGCTCAGTCGGTTAAGTATCTGCCTAAGCATCTGCGTTTGGCTCAGGTCATGATCTCAGGTTCCTGGGATCGAGCCCCAAGTTGGGCTCGCTGCTCAGTGGGGAGTCTGCTTCTCCTTCTCCCTGCCGCTCCCCCTGCTTGGGCTCCCTCTCTCTCAAATACATAAAATCTTTATTTTTTATCTATTTTTTTTTAAAAGATTTTATTTATTTATTTGAGAGAGAGAGAGAATGAGAGAGCACGGGAGGGAAGAGGGTTAGAGGGAGAAGCAGACTCCCCGCTGAGCGGGGAGCCCGATGTGGGACTCGATCCTGGGACTCCAGGACCATGACCTGAGCCGAAGGCAGTCGCTTAACCAACTGAGCCACCCAGGCGCCCTCAAATACATAAAATCTTTAAAAAAAGTTATTTTACTTTGTATATTGTATAACTAGCTTAAAATTACTTGAAAAAATGCAGGCAATGAGGGGAGCCTGGGTGGCTCAGTCGTTAAGCGTCTGCCTTCGGCTCAGGCCATGATCCCAGGGTCCTGGGATCCAGCCCCACATTGCGCTCCCTGCTCGGTGGGAAGCCTGCTTTCTCCCTCTTCCACTCCCCCTGCTTGTGTTCCCGCTCTCACTCTCTCTGTCAAATAAATAAAATCTAAAAAAAAAAAAAAAAAACTCAGGCAATAAAAAATTATTCAAGGTACATACTTTTAAAAATTAAAATGAGTGTTAGAATTTGGCCATTTGGGATAATTGTTTTTTGAATCTAAGATATCTCCTTAAGCAGGTTTTACAGTGAATTTTATTTTTTAAAAAGTAGAGATAAACCACTGGAGATTTTTTTTTATCATCTCTATATTATATAGATAATTTAGGGAGTCTATTTAACTGATTTCACAAGAATAAAATTTTTAAAAGGCAAAGTGATAAAGGACTAAAGGTTTTTACCTCTTCAATATGGTGTAAATATTAGTCTTCTTACTTGGTTCCAGCAAACTTTTACCTGAATGAATAAGGGTACTGATCTCCTTATTTATTTATCTCCAGATTCCATGGTGGCTCAGCAATTAAGATGGCATTGCCAGGGCTGCCTGGGTGGCTCAGTTGGTTAAGATGGCATTGCCAGGTTAACACCTAACCTCTCTTGGAGAAAAGACAGGTGTGGGGTCGGTTCAAAGGCTATAGAGGCATCCAAATGTAAGAACTTTTTTTTTTTAAAGATTTATTTATTTATTTGACAGAGAGAGAGATAGCGAGAGCAGGAACACAAGCAGGGGGGAGTGGGAGAGGGAGAAGCAGGCTTCCCGCAGAGCACGAAGCCCGATGCGGGGCTCGATCACAGGACCCTGAGACCATGACCCGAGCCGAAGGCAGAGGCTTAACGACTGAGCCACCCCGGTGCCTCTGTAAGAACATTTTAGGAAGGTAAGAATCCTTGCCTTTCTAATCCTAGAAGTACAGGAAACATTAACTCTAGAGCTAGAAATTATTTTAAGGGTGAAGAAACACAATACACTTTCAAGTTTTCTAGCCTGGAAAGTTCTGCCGTCACTGCACTATAACATTTGGCTTGAGACCCATAATCCTGATGGGGTTAGCTGTTTCTGCCTTTATCTCTGGGCTCCTCAAACATGATTATGGGTGGGCAGGACACAAATCAACAGAGGACAGCAAGAAAAGTGGCAGCACTGGCATAACATCAGTTTCTTCCAATACCTGGCTGAGCATTTCATTAACAAATTCACAAATACCATTAACAAATTCACAAATACCATGTTGAATATCTTTAAATATGACCTTATGGGTTTTTTTTTTGTCAAGAAGATAATATATAGTTTGATAAGGTAATTAAAAGGGGTAGTGACTTTTAGGGGTGCCTGGGTGGCTCAGTCGTTAAGCGTCTGCCTTCGGCTCAGGTCATGATCCCAGGGTCCTGGGATCCAGCCCCGCATCGGGCTCCCTGCTTGGCAGGAAGCCTGCTTCTCCCTCTCCCACTTGTGTTCCCTCTCTCGCTGTGTCTCTGTCAAATAAATAAATAAAATCTTTAAAAAAAAGGGGGGGGTAATGACTTTTAAACATTCAATTATTTTAAAATCACAGGCATTAAGTCAGGAGACAGTACTTTTGATAAAAAGTATGGAGAGTTTCATGCTATATACAATTAAGAGAATACATGAAACCTTGCAATCTATAGCCACATGGATGACTCTCACAATGTTTTAGTATATGTGCTGCTGAAGCGAGCACGACTCTCACAATGTTAAAAGAAGCCAAAGAGTATATACTATATGATTATACATGATTTATATATATATATATGATTTATAAAGTTCAAAAATAAGCAAAAAGCTAATGTATAGTTTAAGTCAGATAATGGTGTTCTAGGAAAGCAGTCATTGGGAGGGGAGTTTCTGGCATTCTAGTAAAATTCGGTGTGTTGATAAGGACGTCAGCCACATCTGTGCACTTAAATTGTGTCCTTTTCTGAGAATATGTTATACTCTAACAAAGGTAAAAAAAAAATGTGTGTACACATGTAAGATTGTTACAGGGATGGCAGAAGATTTTCAAAAATTTGACTCAGTCTAACATTAGGATGTGGAACAAGTAAAATGAGGATTTTAATATCTACCAGTAGAGCTATAGTGAATACATATTATCATTTTTATTAAGAAAGTATTAGGACTAATAATTCATTTCCAAGTTTTTAATGTAATAAGACCTTTCCTTTCCTTTTTTTAAAAAAGATTTCATTTTTAAGTAATTTCTCTACACCCAATGTGGGGCTCAAACTTACAACCCCAAGGATCAAGAGTCGGATGCTCTAATGACTGAGCCAGCCAAGCACCCCTCCTTTTCTTGTCCAATATCAATGGCAATTTATAACCAAATCCAGCCATGGGAACAGCAATATAATATGCTACATACACATAAATGTGTAATCTATTTTTATAATCTTTAACTCGTATCTAGTTTCTAATCTCTGAAATAAAAACTATATTCCATCTCAAAGAAAGTGGCTACTATTTATTGTACAAATTTTAGATGTAATAAATTTGTATAATTATAAATGTAGAAATGCCAAATATAGGGAAAGAAAAAAAATACCTATTAATGTACTACACTTTTGTTAGCAATTTTGTGGATTTTCTTTTAATCTTTCTCAGACATACACAACGGAAATTTACAAATATAGGCAAAAGTAGGGCCCACATATTCAACAGTATGGATACATGGCCAGTCTGGTTTCATCTATAGTACTTACATAGTCTATCTTTGTGGGATTATTTTAAGGCAAACACCAAGCATCACATCATTTCATCTATTAATACTTCAGTATGTATTTATTTTTAAAGATTTTATTTATTTATTTATTTGAGAGGGAGTGAGAGAGAGCACCAGTGGGGCGTAGGGGGGAGAGGGGCAGAGAGAGAGAGAGAGGGAGAAGTAGACTCTCTGCTGAGCAGAGAGCCCAACATGGGACTTGATCCCAGGATCCCAGGATCACCTGAGCCCAAGGCAGATGTTTAACTGAGTGAGCCACCCAGGTGACCCTCAGAATGTATTTCTAAAGAAAAGAAACTAAAATGAAAAAATAACACGGAAATTCTTGCTTTAAAAATCATTATTTAGGGCGCCTGGGTGGCTCAGATGGTTGAGCGTCTGCCTTCGGCTCAGGTCATGATCCCAGGGTCCTGGGATCGAGTCCCGCATCGGGCTCCCTGCTCCTAGGGAGCCTGCTTCTCCCTCTGCCCCTCTCTCTCTCTCTCTCTCTGTCTGTTTCTCATGAATAAAAAAAAAAAAAAAATCATTATTTATTCCTTAGAATTTTTTTTTTAAGGATTTATTTATTTGAGGGAGAATGAGAGCAAGAGTGAGTGAGAGCGAGTGTATGAGTGGCAGGAGGGGTAGAAGGAGAGGAACAAGCAGACTCCCTGCTGTGTGGGGAGCCCAGTGTGGGGCTCGATCTCAGAATCCCGAGATCATGACCTGAGCTGAAGTTAGACGCTTAACCGACTGGGCCATCCAGGTGCCCCTTCCTTAAAAATGTTTTAAAAAAATTGTAACAGTTTCGCCTATCATCTTCTCTATGCCCCTGCTACTTATATGGGGATGATATTGGGTCACTTGATCTGCAGAATTTCTCCTATTCTACATTTTGCTAATTGAATTCCTGGGTATTCCTTACATGCTCTTCTGTTTCCTTTCATTTCCTATAAACTCGTAGTTACATATTGAGGCTTGCTGAGATTTAGATTTGATTTTCTGGTAAAAATGCCTCACATCTGTTGTTGGATACTTTTTACTGCAGCACATCAGGAGGCATATCATACCTATCTCTTTTTGGTAGGATGTTGTATTGTAATTATAAAATAACCATGTATTTAAAAATTATATTGGGGCGCCTGGGTGGCCCAGTTGGTTGAGTGTCTAACTCTTGGTTTCGGCTCAGGTCATGATCTCATGCAGCCAGGCATCAGGCTCAGCTCAGCGGGGAGTTGGCTTGAAGATTTGTTTGCTTGAAGATTCTCTCCCACTGCCCCTCCCTCCACTCATGCACGTGCTCATTCTCTAATAAATAAATCTTTAAAAAAAAATTACCTTAAAATCTTTCAAAACAGATTCCATGCAAATTCATGAATATTGATGGAACTACCAGAAAAAAACGACACTATTGTAACCATGATTCTCAGAAACTCTTTATTACCTGGAGAATTGAATGAGTATATGAAGATATTTAATGTGCAAGCTTTTCCCCAGGACAGTTCCTTTGTCCGGCTTCCCTGTCCCTGTAAGTTTATAATCCTAAACTCTAGTATATCCACTGGAGTCTAAAATCTGTTTACTTATGGTCCTCCTAGCTTGAATCCAACTAAGAACACAAATCAGTTTAATGGAAGTCTATACATACAACTTATTCATTGTAATACTGGGTAATCTCTCTGTTTTCCATTTTTAACAGAGTAATAATGGTACCCATGCCAAGGGGTTATGTGGATTAAGCACATGTTAAGTACTTAGAATCTGGTACCCAATAGCTGCTCCAAGAAATATTCCTGATTACTGTTATTACTTCATATATTGGTATTATTTTTGCAGTGGATAAATGTATAAGCTAACTACTAGCATGATTCAGGATGAATGGGAGCCATTTATACCTGCTTTATGATTTCTGAAATTCCAATTTTGGATTGTTGAGTAAGATAATTTGATTTCAAGTTCCAGAAAGTACATGTTATATGACCACATAGTGAAATGGACTAGAAAGTACAGAAGTCTAAGAATTTAAAAGTACTTGATTTAGGTGTTGATTCTGTTCCTTACTAATTATGTCACCTACACAAGTCATTTAGCCTCCATGAACCTCAGTTTCTTCATCTGTGCAGTGAGGATAATAAAAATGAAAATAAATGGAGATAATTATTTATTTTGCATAGGATTTTCTTAAAGATCAAACTAGATAATGTATGTGAAAAACACAGAATTACAAATATATTTTGCTGCCATTCTTAGATGAGTCACAAATTATCTGGTTCCTTGAATTGCTGGGTAGAGTAAGAGAAGTACCCAATGAGCTGATAAAGCCCAAGAATAGTTCTCTTATATATGGACATAAGGCCTAATGGAAATTCCAAGAGAGGTGACTGTAGCAGATGTTTTATGGAGCTCCACACTATATCCCCTTTGCCCACCTAATTTCAAGGGACTGTGGTACATTCCATGCACACCAGAGTCTCATGGCAAGCCAGCTACGGCAGTTTGGATGTGTGGGTGAATTAAGGACACTGGGGTAACTTCAACCAATGAATGAGACATAGCCTCTCAGCCTTCAGTAGAAAATTCTGGGGCATCTACTCATTTCCTCAGTTGCAGAGAGTGGAAACCAGCTCAGTAGGGAAACCTTTCCTAACTTTTCTCCCTTCCTGTCTTATTCTCCACACACCCTCATTTCTGCTTCCTGGAATCATCTCCTAAATAAACTATCTTAACCCAGTCCCTCATCTTAGGCTCTGCTTTCAGAAAAGACCCCAAACTAAGATAATGACACACTGAAAAATTTCAAGTGTAACTGACTGTTATTACAACCTTTCTCACTAATCAGGCTTAGGTAAAAAGAAGTAGAAACAAGGTGAGAACAGAGGCACTATGCGCTTAAAGCATGTACGTTTGTTGGATGGGGCTTACAGAGAAAAGATATAATATCAAGAATTAAATAAAACATAATAGGCACACTGCTTTACATGATGCCTTGTGTTAATCCTAATTTTACATGCCTAAATGGCCAACTAGGTGAGGAGAAGATGTTCTCAGAATCAAAGCTTTGATCTTTGGGAGTGTTAATGTTATATGTCTTGTGTCTTTTATACCTCATGACTTGGATTTGAACCAATGACCTCAATCAACTGTGAAAGAATTAGAGGAATCCTCTGGGATTCTGCTAGCATAAATGTAATTCAATTTTAAATCTAATCAACATCCACTGACTGTTAACCATATGCTGTTAGGCTTGAGCTACAAATATGAACAAGTTTACCAAGGCAACGGTATAGTTTGTATTCTATGTAGTAAGACATAGAATATGTTAGAAGAACACACTGAGGGTCTGTAATGACCAATGAATAACGCTGAGGGCAAAGCAAAGAAACCTGGAAAGTGATTATATGGGTAACAACCAGAAAATGGGATATTCAAACATGATTAATTTCTACTAAAACATTTTTAAGCCTACTGGTCAAATTTAAGTTACTAAACCCATTTGGTAAGGGGAAAAAAAATAACAGTTCAATTGAACACTCATCCTCAGAATTTTCTAAAACAGATACCAAATCATGAAATAGTTCCCAACTACATTTTGATTTGACTCAGGTTGCCATAGGGATACTGAGCTTTTCATTAGCTTGGCATTGACAACCTAGGCCCATTTTCCCCTTCTAATGTCATATTCCTAATCCTCTACTCCAGTCACTTACTTTCATTTCTTGTTTCTCCAAACACATCTCTCACATTCTCATCTCTTTGTTGTGGTTCAAGGCATTTTATCCTGTATGGACTACCCTTTTCTGTCCCTTCCCATCCAAATCCTACCCCTGGTTAACTAAGTGACTACTTCCTTTTAGACAACATTTCAGGTGCATATATTTTCTCTGTGACTCTATTAGAGAAAATCTATGTAAATTTAAGTCTTCAGGGTTATGCTCAGAAGACATGGGTTTGAATTCTAGGCATAGCATTTATTAGCTTTTAACACTGGGTAAGTCATTCAGTTCAATCATCACTTTTTTTTTTTTTACAGCAGGCTTCTGCTGAGCATGGAGCCCTGGACGGGTCTTGAACTCAGGACCCTGAGATCAAGACCTGAACTGAGATCAAGAATTGGACACTTAAACCGACTGAGCCATCCTGGTGGCCCTCAATCATGAAATTTTTAATGCACATCCTATAGCACTGGATGCTAGAGCTACAAAGATGAACGAGATAGGGTTCTGATTTCAAGGAGATCACAACTGAAAGGATATTAAATTCTTAAAAAATTTATGAACATCACAGTATAATTAAGAGAATCAAATGAAATAATGGAAATATCTAAACTGAGATCACACTGCAGCTATTAAATGAAAATGTCAATGGCTTCCTAAAAAAATCATTTCACAGGTGTCTTTTTTTATTGAAATGGTTGGTTAAATGAATCCAATTACCACCTTCCCAAAATTATTCTAACTCCCCTAAAATCCACAAAATACATTTCTTCTCTCTCTCTTTTTTTAAAGATTTTATTTTTAAGTAATCTCTACACCAAACAGGGGGCTCGAACTCACAACCCTGAGATCAAGAGTTGCAACCTCTACCCACTGAGCCAGCCAGGTGTCCCGAAAGACTTATTCTCTTAATGCAATAAATGTTAACATAATAAGTTTTCATTTTAATAATACATAAATGGAGTATTTATCTCCCTTATAAAACAACTATTTCACAAGGAAAAGAATGCTTACTATAAGAGAATTATATTTATTTTGCATCACAAATCACCTCTTAATTTTTATTAGTTAATAACAAATTAATTTCTTGTTATAATAAAGAATAATCCTAAAGACAGTCAAATTACATAGAAACAAATAGGAAAAAAAAGAAAGAAAAAAGAACCACATGATATTTCAGTGACTCTTACTAGAAAAAAATCTGCTACTTACGGCAGTGGCTCGAGAGAGTTCTCTACATGTACTGAGCAGTCCGTTTTGTAAATCATCCCTCTGTAACACCACGGTCTGAATGGCTGCTGGGTTATCTGCATTCATTTCTATCTCTTGGCTGGCTGATAGCAAAGCTTGCTCAAGCGTGTACTATTATAATAAAAATAATTACACTTAATGTTCTGCATCATTGAATTAATTCTTTTTACTTTAGTTTTATCAGTGTCCTGATAATAAGCATAAAAAGTAACATCAATTGTAGATAATAAACATAATTGTCCTACTTTCTCCTTGTGGAGTTGCTGAAGTTTCTCTTCCAGGGCATGTACCACTTTATCTTGTTCACATAACCGGCTTAACTTGGCCTAGGTTTTAAGAGAAAATCTATTAGCAATTTTTTATTTTTCCTGTTATTGGCAGTAGGTAGTCCTGTAACTGAAGGTAGGTGTAACAAGAAAACACATTTAAGATAGCCACAGAATAATACCTAATTAGGTCAATCTTTATTTCAATCAGTAAAATAAAAAATAGCTTTTATTTATTTAGTTTAAAGATTTTATTTAGTCAGAGAAAGACATGTATCATATGACCTCACTGATATGAGGAATTCTTAATCTCAGGAAATAAACTGAGGGTTGCTGGAGTGGT